GCATTTATGAGACAGACGTTTTCGTCCACATTGCAAAATAACAAATATTAAATAGAAAGACAGAGAGAGCAGGGACACATGCTGTTCTCCTGTAGTTGTCTAGACACCTGCTTCAATTCAATGAAAATAAGAAGAATAGAAGAAAAGAACAAAGTTTGGATCACGTTAGAATAATTTCAGCATCAGAGACTCGTACTCATCTCTGTTTTCAGTGAAGTTTTTTTCCATCCTCGATTAAGAAAGTGATCTTGGGAATTGGCGATAATAGAAAATACGCAGACTGGAAGTGAGATGGACTGTAAATGTGCTCCATTCATCCGGTACAGGGGTTTTTTACATCAAATACCAATCAACACAGGTGCCATTCCCCAGTAAATGTAATTTGTGAGAGGCAACAAGCCGTGAAAGAGACTGTAATCACCTTTGCTTTCCTCACCTCTCTGCAGACAACCGGGTCTCCTCACCTCTCAGTCTGTCCTCTTACCTGATTAAGTTTGCCGGCTGCATGCGCATATAGGACAGTCAGCTGGAGTTCAGAGAGGTGACTCCACAAGTTCTGCAGTTTTCCTGAATAAAACATAATTTATTGAGTACTTCATTTCACCCCAAGAACCATAAATCATCTCCAAATATATTGATCTCCCTCTATTGATCTCTGGTCTTAAATAAGACTTGATTTGCTCTGTTTTCAGTATCAACCCCTTTGGACAAGGATGGGACTTGAACTGAACTGAACTGAACTGAACTGAACTGAATGGAACTGCACCTGAGCTTGGAAACAAAGCAGGACTGACTGATATGGTTTTCCTGAATTCTGCACTGCATTTTACAGTCTCTGTCCCTGGTAAGTCCAATTTTATTTTTGAACTACACCATATTTTACATTTTCTGTTGAAACCAATTGTAGCAAAGGGTTGTACAAGTTGGTTTAAAATATGTTTAAATATTATAAATAAATATATTGTAAAATAAATTGTATAAATACATATGTAATACTATGATATGTATAAATAAATTGTAACAAGGGATCAGAGCTAAAGGCAGTTTAAAGGTATAAAGGTTGACTCAAATAGAAGTAACTCAGTTACTTTATTCTTCCCCACGTTCCCCAAGCTTTAGTCTTTCTTCTTCAGTTTCCTGGTTAATGCTGCCCCCTGGTGGTAAAATGAAGTCACTGCCTTGAACTGCATAGACTATTCCAACACCAACCTAAACCAATGAGATTATATACACATACAGTCATCTTATATGGAAGGAAAAAAATGAAATCTTTTCTGAAATATTTATTAATGTTATATTTATTATGTAATTTTGTTTCCTTTCAACACTTTTGTTAAATCATGTTGCTGATTTGAAAAGTGCATTTAAAGTTGCTGTATGACATTTGCTTACTTTGTTATTAGCAGAGAATTTCAAACCTTCCTTTCTGACTTTGGAGATCTCTCTACTGAAGCAGCTCTTCATGATACAATAAAAATCTATTGATCATGTGGACAGTTGGAAACACATTAACACTCAGCACACATAAGATAACGAGCACTAAACTGAGCATCTGTCATTTCTGCAAGATGTCCTAAACACTCAGTATTTAATTGTGTGTGTAAGTGCCGAAGCCAAGGGGAAAGTGCATGGAAGGGAGAAAGAAGATGAGAGCAGGAGATAGAGACAGAGCCGACTTCTAATCACTGAACTCGCACCTCCTCCACACGTTGACAAAGAGCCAGACTGGCCATTGATTAAAGCATCAGAGAACAGATAGGACATCTAAGGATCCTCATTCATCCCCAAACGCTCATCAATATTTTGTATTTTCTTTCGCCAGGCAGGGAGCACTGTCGTCTGGGCAAAGTGACGGAGTCAAAGAAAGAATGAAAGGGTAAAATGTACAGTTTAAATGAGTTTTGAAATTATTGCAGAAGAAGAAGAAGTAAAGTTGTAGTATTACTACTTTAGCCGATGTGATCAGTCACTTTTTGCACACTTAAGTGATTATTCAGTTGGAGTATTGGGCAAAAATGGTAATTTTATCCATTTACATTTAAATGTATTGACTCGTAAGTAAAATGTGTGAAGTGTGAAAATGAGTAAAGTGCGAAAGGGTCTGAATTCACCACTGAAGCCGCTGTAATGCACATCAGAGTTTCTCCTTTGCCTCGTGATGCAAGTGGTGCGGTTTCAGAAGCTTTTCCTTTGTGATGAGAACCTAATTCAGGTGACATGTTCAATACTGCAATACATAAAGTAAATTATCATTTTTTAAGGTCGTCTTCGATCTACTGTAGTGCAAGTGCATTAGCTCAGAGTTAAATTCAAATAGAAGTGTGATTACTTAGGATTAATTACTTTTAGACCTTTTTATATTTTTTATATTTTTTAAACTCCACTCTTTCCTTGCTTTGTGACACAGGCAGGGTATTTTAGGCGTCTTGTTCACCTTGAAGCTAAAGTTGAAAACTTAAAGTGAGTAAGTTGAAGACATAGAAATGAGCTGCAAATTGCGCTGGTGTGGCTTCACCCAATGATGTCTGATTTGGTTTGTTGGCTGGAAGGTCCGTCTCTATAGGAGCTCCCATCATTGTTAAATAAACTGCAGTGTGTTAAAATGACCAGTCAGTCTATTATCATCAGGGAAAAGAGCTATAAGAAGAGAAGAGGAGGGGGAACGGTATAAAAAGGACAGTTTAAATAAATCCCTCTGGATATTGCAGTTCTCAGGAGTAAGTTCATGTCATTAGAGCCAGAACAGACAGTTGACATTGGAAGTGTTGCTCCTCAGGATAGATCAGTCTTGGTTATTTTATCTTGATAATGTCTTGTTTGGAATTTCAGAGACCCAGACTCAACTATTGACTGAATCCTCAAGGATTCTCATTCACCTTGAAACCTGTGTTGACTTTTATCTGGAATCTGTGATTTTATTGCTCTTTGTAATTTGTCATCCAGGTAGTTTTAATGAGAAGCAAGGAGAGTACGGCGCGCTCTAAATTAAGTCTGTAAGTTTATTATAGCTCATGTAAGGAGGTTAGTCAGGGCGCTATGTTTCAGGGAAGACAACCTGCTGATGCTTACACAGGTGCATAACATCAATGTTTGTTATGATATGCAAAGAAAATCATATTGCAATTAATTTGGCACATATTGCAATTTAAATATGAGTCGTGGTTTCACAGTGGTGATTTTTGAATTTTATTTTCACTGAAAAAAATATAAAAATGATGATGTAATTTTAACTGGGTCTTGTACAAAACAAGCATTTTCTCTTACTGATGATTTGTAGGCTGGAGCATCTCTGTAGCACCACAATGCTTCATTGTTTTGAATATAAAGTGCTTGTATATAGAAAACTAATAAAATAAAAGACAATGATAAATGATCAAATAATCAAACAACACCAAAACAGGGTCACTGTGGACTTTCGAATATATATTCCAATTTATTAATGCAGAACTGAGGTACAGGTTTTGGATTCAATAGTGTAATAAGGTAAACAAAGGTTATTTAATAAATATTTTTCCAATATTAGGAAAAATGAAAGAGGATTTTGTTGCCTCAAAGCACAGCAATGCACTGAGATAAGCAGCTTTAAGACAGAAGAGGTCAAGAGTAAATGAATAGTTGAGGCAGTGTTTCTGTTTGCTGAGCTCACAGTGCTGTTTAATAAGGGCTATTTGATGAAGCCCCTCCCTGAGGAAAGAGACACTGAAACAATCTATGTCAGAGTGTTTTATTAATTCAAAAGCAATGACACAAGTCATGCATTAAGTCCTGTGTCTTCCTTTATAGCAAAATACAATATTATAATATATTCCAAACTGATGCTGAACCTTAGAAAATAATATGGAACATTTTCAATCCTTCACTCTACACTTCTACTAAAGGGATATTTAGAAGAACTACATGATGAACTTTAGGAACTGATATACAGTGTTTTTAAATGCACTTTACAATCTTATTCCTAAAGCAAATCATCATTCTTTTTTTATATGCTCTTTTTATTGTATTGTAAAATATGCTGCTTCTATTTTATATCAGAAAAAATATTGGAGAAAAGGAGCCATGAAAAAAAAGAATCATATCTTGCAAACCCCAAACAGTTTTTAGTTTGTCTATACGTCTTAAAAATACATCATTGCCAACTTCTGCGTAATAACCAAACAGCCCTGAACATTTCTTGTATATTAACAAACACATCTGAATAAAGCAAACACACAGTCTCATTAGGTTGATCAAATGAGTCAATTAAAGAAAACATCTCAGATGCCCTCTCATATCACAGTTGTCTTTTAATTTAGATCATAAATACAAAACAAAGAAACATCCAAGCTGCACTAGTTTGTTCAGTAGTACATAATATAAGCTACTATTTTACTTGTATTGATTAAACCTAGCAACTGATTTATTTTGATTGGGAAACAGCCAAAAGGAGATGGGTCAGAAAAGTATCAGAGCACTAAAATGCCACAGTTTGAGATGACTACAGGAGATGATGATGTTTTACAGCGTCCACTCAAGTTCAAATGAGGAAACAATGAGAACATCTTATCAAAACATGAACGTGACATATTGTAGTAGGATGGGCTGTGGCAGTTTCCCTGAGCTCCGGTTCAGTGAGTCTATTCAGCCGGATTGTAAAGGCAGTTGTTTAAAAAGGGCGGGGTTTAAGGGTTGTAAAACAAAAGAATATAAAGACGTGCAAGTTGTAACATTTCTGTTCCACACAACAACATTCCTGCACAAAAGTTTGTAGGTGTTCTGTAAATACACATAGCTGCATGTGTAGACCTGGTGCTTTTGGACTAACAATGGGGCTTTGATACTCACCCACAGAATCAAAATATACAGTAGCTGTTCAAGCAAGAATACCTGGATATACCATGTACAGAAATATGTTTTTACTGGGTGCTGTTCACATTTTCTTTAGTAAACGCTCTAAATTCTAAATGTAAAAAATATCTGAACAGTGAAGAAAAAAACACTAACATATTTTGCATATCTTTTAATATATGTAAATATATTACAATATAATATTTTTAATTATAGGGTATAAGAAAGTGAACATTGGAGTAAATTGTACAGCCGCAGTGTCATAAACATATATAGATATGACATGATAAGTAAAGAAAAACAGACCTGAATCTGGATTAAACTTTTACATTCAGTTTAGCTTCAGGATAAAAAGCAGATGAAAGTTACTGTAACCCCAAAACTTCATGTAGACAGCTTTTGTGCAGTTACATCTTTGGTAAATGAAAAATAAAAAACTACTATATACTGCAAAAGACTACAAATTTTTTTTATTTCACTCCTGAATGTAACATGTCACTACTTTATGAAATAACTGAATTAATATCAACTTTGTAACTTTTTACAAGTGCTATGTAAATAATGTTAGTAGGTAGTTTAATGCACTAAGTTTGGTTTAAGAAACAAGTGAAGCTACAAACACAAATCCAGACAACACAGTAGTATCGTCTGAGTTCATCTCCAACATGCATCAGTTTCCCTTTTTTCTGTTTTCATAAAAGGCTTTAGTGAGGACTGTGTGAAACAAATCTGGATTGCTCTTGCCTTAGATGACCTGATTCAGTCCTCTGTGGCAGTAACTGTCCTGCAGAGGTCCTTGAGCAAAAACACTAAATTCCCTCCATCTGTAGAACGACCTGCTGTTTTTTCAGGCGTAAACTGACTGTCGAGAACATCCTGTCCTTTCCGCTGTAATGTTTGGAACATTGTTTAACTAATTTTGCAGTCACACCTTTAGTTCTTGCATATTGTCATGTATCCAACCCTGGCCTTTCTGGCAGGAATGGACCCAGTTATTTAAATAAAACTTCACTTTAGAGGTATGTTTTGCAAATCAAAGGTGCAATCATGTTATAGATGTTTTGCTGTAAATCTCACACCGCGTTCATTACAGAAGTTTTTCAAACTCTGACCCCATTCATCACCCGGCTGACAACTGTGTATTTACCAAGCTACAGTAACACAGGCTAAAGCTACGTCAGTAATGGTGTCACCCTCAGCAAACATGGAACAAACGTAAAGCAGTAGATCAAAGTGACACAATCAGTCCTGGCCCACAAGGTTATTTATGAGATAACAGATAAATCTTTTGGTAATAAGATTGTGGATCATGAACTAATTGCGCTCTGGAAGAAAAAGAAAACACTTAGGTTTTACAGTTACAACAGTAAAAGGTGACTGGCATTTATATGCGAAATGACCTGGTATGAAAACATTTGTACAGTATAGGCACTGAATAGGCATCTGTCAAGAAACTGCAGTTTTAAATATATGAAGGCTGCAAAATGCAAAGTAAATGTGTTTGTCTGTCTCCCATCGCTGATAATTTATTGCTTAAAAGCTTTGTAAACATGACCAAGGCTTTCTCACTGGAAAAAAACCCCAAACTTTTCCCTTGATTATGGCTCCTATGAGAGAAAACTGCATTATAGGTACATTCATGTTCAGGTACAGTCTGGCTAATTCTTATAAAATAAATATTATAATAAAGATAATATGGAATTTTTCACCTGTGATTCCTGTGATAGAAAGATTGCATATATTGATTTTAACAGCAAGACCTTTCAAATGATTAATCATGACGCTTCAAACTAAACTGAAACTTAAATGAATTCTGAAATTCAAAGTTCCCCTCAAAGCACACACCCCACCCTACGACACATATTATTATGTGAACTCTACAATTTAGGGCTGCATGAAAGAATATTTAATTTCAGTTAACTATAGTCCTTAACTATATAAATTCGTAGCCTCTCTGCATGTGAATATTGCAGGAACATTAATAATGGAATCAAAAATTTTCATTATTCCTAATTGAGATGGCTCTAAATAAATGTATGTTGTATTTCTGGATGACTGTGTGCAAAAAAGAGGAAATGATTCTCAAAGTACAGATGGAGTTTCAGTTTGAACTATTAAGTTTTATGTACGTCGGCTCCATTTCTATAAGGAGGACTTTAATCTTTTAGCGTTTAACATGGTGAAGCAGTATTAAGTAAAGAATTGTCTACTGAAGTCCTTCCTTTGTGTAACTATCCTTCATCTCTTCTTCGTAACTGCTGCTACCACTGTCGCATTATAAGGCACATAGGCAACAATGAATTTTTGTATCATGTGAGTTGTACACTGCATACATGTAAACATAGATATTTGGACAGATAGATTATCTCCTTAGCATTTGGTGTCACAGTCTCCATTAGGAGCAGAGAGGCTTTGGACGTAGCGGACGGCGTCTGCGATGGTAAAGAATACAATGCTGTTCTCCCCTCCATCACCTCCTTTTGTGTCGGGGTAGTATCCCCCTCTTTCCAGAGTGTCCAGTAGTGAGGTATTACACTGGGCCAGGACAACTTTGACCCCAAGTTCTCCGTAATCTTTGCGGACTTCTTTCAGAGCATTCACTCCAGCGGTATCTAGAAACAAGATGGCACTGCAGTCTATCACTATGCTGTGCAAGCTACGAGATTTCTCGTCAAGCATCAAGTTTACAGTCGCAGTAGCTTCAGCTTCCTCATCTTTACAGGCATTCTTCCCCTCTGACTTCATATTTGGATCTTTTGCGACCTCTTTCTGCTGTTTGCTCTTCTTCTTCTTGAACTTTAAATGCCGTGTTTTCTCCCTCACAGGGTCGAGCCCTACGCGCTTGTAGAGGGATCTTTTGAACAAGCTCTGGTTGGCGTAATAGATCGGAGCCTCGTATCTGAAAACAGCCACTCCTGGATGCGTCTGAAGGCCGCGGTAAGATGACAGGTCCTCGTAATGCTCCCTGGTTGCAGCCCGGCCCAGCTCCAGGACCTGGACTTGCTGGGTTCGGCCTAGTACGCAGAAGGCTGACACCAAAACCCCCACGAGGAGACCCAGCTCCGTGTTGACCAGCGATGAGGTCAGCATGGTGATCAGCCAGATGGAGGTATCGCCCCGATTGGCACGCCACATGCGGGGAATGTCGGTGAACTTTCGTAGAGCACCACGGAGGTTGACCACGATGATGACGGCAAGTACACACCTGGGCAGAAGAAGGAAAGGGCAAAGGTTAAGAGAGTCACTTTAGTTGTGTTCAAGGAATAAAGCAATCAGTGCCCTGATGAGTGTAGGCTGTTTTTAAGGTGCTTAAAAAACTTGAGTCCTCATTTCATACAGATTTTTAAATTTTCTGGTGTGTAACTGAGACTATAATCGTTTGCCATTCAGTTTTTTTATCTTAGATTTTTTGAAAGCATAAAGACTGAGGGGCAAAGGTCGAGACAGAATCAGCTGAAGAGACCCACAGGCTATACAAATAAAGAGAGAGGGAGTAGGGGTGGGGGGGTAGTAAAAGTGAAGAACAAAGAGAAAACTATCTGTCCTCAGCAGATGTATGACATTATTGATGAAGACATTCCATATGATCAGTGAAGCAGTGTTTGTCTGTAGATGTGTATGTGGGTGTCACACCAGCGTAGAAACAAATCATTACCAATTGTCAGCCTCAGTCACAATAAACAGACAGTGATCAATGCTCACACAAGACTCAACACATTTCCCAGTGTGTGTGTGAAATCCCATTCATCTTTATAAATGGCAATTAACTCATTTGTTTTATTAATTTATGTTTCTGCTCCTTCCTCCTCATTATCCCATAATCATGTCTTGTAATATTAGAATAGAAATTAAAGCTTTTTTCAGCAATGTGTATCTTTGCTGAAGTGTTGTTGCCTTAAGATATTTGAACAGGCAGCCGCTGCAGAGAGAGAACCAGCAGAGTCAGCATTAACCCTGAACTATAACCACAGGTTATCGGTGTTTGTTTAAGTCTACCCTTGAAAAAAAAAAGAGAAAAAGATAGGAACTGCAAGCAAATGTTTAAGTACTCCTATAAATTAGAACTAATTCCTAGTAATTCCTAGTACAAACAGGAACATTGGAATATATGAAACTTATTTGAACTCATCTGAAGCAGGTTGTTTTCTAATGTGATGAAGCTTAACCCCCAAATTATATATATATATATATATATATATATTTATATATATTTGAAAACTTTATCAACGTGGACACACAAATTGATGTTGGCTCCAAAACTTTGACTGGGTCTCAGTTGCATGTGGCTGGTGATGGATGTTTCACAGGTCTAAGACATTCAGGGTTTGTTTTTTCTCAGACTAGACAGACAGGACTGTTAAATGTGCAACTGTAAAATGTAAATGATAAGAACATGCATGATGTCATTCAGGCAATCAGAATTAATTACCTACTGATTAGAAAATTAATTTGCAAGTGGAATAATTGAGGAAGACCCTTAAATTGATTACTCGTTAACATTTTGGTATGCTTACTTCTGAAGGGAATAGAAGAGCGGTGCGATAACTAGAAGCACCAGCAGCAGGACGAGGGCGCTGACCAGCCCTGACATTTGAGTCTGGCACCCTGTTGACTCCTTGACGAGGGTCTTGGTCAGAGCAGCACTGGTGGAGAAGCAGCGGAAAAACGATGGCAGGATGTTGCAGAAGCCGATGGCGTACATCTCCTGGTTGGCGTCCACTGTGTAGCCGTGCTTCTTGGCGAACATTTCTGACAGTGACACGGTGATGGCGAATCCCACGATGGCGATGGAGAAGGCGTCAACAGCCACGTTGGGAATCAGAGACCATAAGGGCAACTGGGGAGGGAGAAAGCCTGTGGGGATGTCGCCGGCCACACTGGACCCATACTCTGTGTTGAAGTGGCCAAAGTGAGAAGCCAGTGTCGCAATTATCACCACAAAGAGCTCAAAGGGAATTGGGGCCTGTAAGAAAAAGAAGAAAAATCAGTACACAAGACAAAAAATTTATGTTCACAGTAGTGGACCCAAGAGTGGTAATTCTCATTATACACGTAATACAGAATTCTCAGACATCATAAAAATCAAGAGCCATTTTGTTAATCTAACATCCTTACAGCTAGCGGAATAAAAAAAAATAAAGTTTGGCCCTGATGTTGGTGGAAAAGGCAATTGTTTAATAAATTGAAATGGTTTTTCTAGTATATGGTGGCATTTTTAGGACATCTCGAACTCGGCTCGTCAGGCTTAGCGCAACACCCCGCAGCTTTGTTTGTGCTTTGTCAGTTTTACCTGCACTTTTACCTCAACCTCAACTCTATGCTCAACTATGCTTTGACCTGCTACCATTAGCATGCCAACATTAGCGTTACAGCCAGCACAGGTCAATCAATAGTTGGTGATTTACTCTGGACCAAAGTGTTGGACTGACAGAGTAACCAGGTAATTGACCAACTGACATTACCATCCTACAGTATTACAGGGGTCAAAAATAGACCATAAAATAATGGAGAAAATGCTAAACTTACTATGACCAACTATACACAGTACAATACATATATATTTTGCAACGGAACAGGTCCCTGACCTTTATGCTTTTTGTGATTGGTTGCTTGTAATTTTGGTGACCAAAAAAAGGCAGTATTTACAGATGATTGAAGCTGTATTTATATTTATAACACTACTAAAATAAACTAATCTGCAGTTTGTCTTTACCTTTAGCTTGGCTTTGAAGCGATCATTGAGCTCCTTGGTAGGTATCAGTACAAGCAAACACACCAAACTGGTCACCAGGTCACAAATGTTTGTGTTCCCCAGGTTGGTGAAGAGGCTGTACCAGGTCTTGAATAGAGTGAACCAACCCTGGGGCCTGGGGATCTTCAGACCCAGAAGGTACTTGAACTGGGAAGTGAGGATGGTCAGGGAGGCTCCTGTAGCGAAGCCACTGAGAAGGGAGTCAGAGAGGTAGACGGAGACGAAGCCTACCTGGAAAATGCCCATGAGCACCTGAGAGAAAGTTAAGCAGGAGTAAATAAGCAGGTTCCAAATTATGGAGGAAGTGAATCTAAGTCAACAATTTATCAAACTATAACGTAATACATACATTTACACTTGAGATATTTGTCTTCAAAACTTTCCACAGATGCAAGTAGACACTATTTCTTAGTTTACCAATGTCACAAACTGTAACTGAGCTGCCTTGATACCATACACTGATAACAGATTTGTCCACGGAGAACAACAGAAGCATTTACTCACATTAGCATGTGATAATTTCAGTTTGTCAAGGCCATAAACCCGCCCCTGCTCACTTACCTGGTAAACCCCAGCGGTAAAGGTAACTGTGGCTCCCACTGTGATCGCATAGCAGCTTCTGTCACATTCCACCCCGACGCTGCCATTCCCCTGGCCAGCCAGCAGGACGGCACTGTTATTACTACTGGTGATGCTGCTCTCTGTGAGGTACCCTGCCAAAGCCAACTCCCTGTCCACAACCTGGCCCACAAGCAGACAGAGCACCCCAAAAATCCCCACTGAGATGTGTCTGGAAGTGCCTAAGAGGGCGTAGATGATGGAGGAGAAGAAAGAAGTGTAGAGACCATATATAGGGTCCTGACTGGCCAATAAGGAGTAAGCTATAGACTGTGGGACCAAAAGGATTCCAACAATCAGTCCTGACATGGCATCGCCCAGAATCCAGTCCCTGAGCTTGTAGCGTGGCAGCCATTTCAGAATTGGGAAAAAGCCCAGTATCTTGGATTTAGCCTTCTTTGGGGTGCACGAGCAGTGTTTCTTCAACCGACGTAACGCAGCGGTTCGACAGGATTTTCCCTTCTCTTTCTCCACTCTTTCCAGAATGAGAGGCTGCTGCTGGTCACTCTCTGCTCCATCTTCTGCTGCTGTACAGCAGTCACTGCCATGAGTCATGATCGAGCCCCTGTTGTGGAAAATAGTTTTGTTTATGTAAGTTGTCAAACCAAAATTATCTCAAACAACGACTTATTGCTGCGTGCCCAATATATGGCACTTTAACAAAAAATGATATCTATGTATATGCTGGGGGCGTAAGGATTCTGAAACTGAGACTGCAGTTTGGTTATCCCTCCCTAAAATGAACAAAACAGAAAAAATTAGGTATGAACAAAACTGTGGTTCGAAAACACCACATTTTTTGCCTTTGTTATGATGTGAAGTGGTGAGAGAGACAGGAAAATGAGGGGAGAGAGAGATAGGATTGACATGCAACAAAGAGCCTGGGCCAGATTTGAACCCGGGCCTCTGCAGCAAAGACTCAGTCTGGTACTCGCTCTACCGAGTGATCTACTGGGGCGATCCCAACTCATTAGTTCATATGCATATTGTAAAATGTTCCCCTGGCTATCGTAATGACCACGTACAACACTTGAGAAGCAGTGTGGAGAGAGGTGGAGGGTGAAGCGCTATCAAATGTCGGGTCAGTTCCTGTGGGCCTGACTGCATATTTCTGACATTTTGCTGAGGCCAAGAAATATTTCTTTCTCTTTGTGCTATGTCACACTACAGATAGGACACTTCCTCTCATTCATACAGTTCAGCTTACACATTTAGTGGCCCTTAGACAGAAAGGGACACTACTGATTATTACCAGTGCTGATATCTACCAAGCTGTGTTATGTACATTAATCCCAGTGTGTTGCTTTGATCATCTATGATCATTATGTAACAGGCTTGAGCTACTTAGTGACTGGATATTTACTTATAGTGAATTTATTATAGACTACCTTTAATTTTAATTGATCATGCTGTGTGATATTTTTAATGAACTTGAATTTGGTCATTTTAGGAAGTCAAACATCTATAGAAGTGTAGGTTAAAGCTGGGCTCATGGATGAATTGGAAATCAATTGCTTATATAATGTAAATTGCAAACAAAACTTTCACCTTTTCAACCCAACTGATCATAGCTAAGAAGACGTATGTTATCGTGCAAAAATGGCCAAAAATGCTTATTGTGATCCCTACTAACAATATGTGTGGCGTGTAATAGCGATTTAATAGTCTCTTTATATCACCATGATACTCCTATAAAGGATTCCGCGGACTTATTTATGGTATTTGAAACTTTCTCAATATTATAACGTTAATAGGATTACAGTAACGTTAACTTGCTCCATTTTCCATGAGGAGGCATGTGTAGTGGCGTTAATGAGATTATTGCTCATGTCTACGGGCTGTTTAAATGCTGCCAGTCAATACTGGGAAGCGGAGTAGCGTCACTTTGTGAACTGAGGAAACTTATATAAACAAATTAAACAAACTACGACACTGCTAAATTGTAATATTCACAATAGCTTTTAAATTACATTAATTTCATTAACGTGTCCAGTTTGAGGAGCTGGGTCAGGCCAGGAGCTGCCAACGCTACCTTAGAGTGGAGATGAATGAGCACCATTGTAAACAAGTTGTCAACGTGGACACCGGTTGAAACTTTAGCTAAATTTAAGTATTGTAACGTGACAGTTTGCTGCTGCTTCTACGGGAACAAAACCGTGTTTTAAATGTGCAAAGTTACTCACCTGAGCTCGAATCAGTCGCTTTTACGAAGTTAATCTGAGGTTGTGTTCATACTGTCGACTTTCACTCTGCCTGAAATTCATTTTACACTAGTTGGTAGATCCGTGCGTAATGACGTTTCATGGAGCGCGTGGGCAACGTCACATGACCTGCCGAGCCAAAGATAGTCTATGTCTGAAGAGGAATCACTTCGTAGGAAAAACTAAGACATCACGCAATAATAATAAAACAATGTATCAATTAAGGAAAATAATAATGCAGAATTTATGGCAAATTAAGTTACTTGGTGTGGGTTTTATAGTGAAATAACAAAGAGGTAATTTATACTCTAACATCCAGGCACAAACTTTCTAGAAACACACAGTCTACAGTCAGAGTTTATTTAAATTCCTAAGCAGTGTCAGATATTACAACTTTTCCATTTTCGTGGTTGATTTACTCAAAGCCTAAACCAAAGTAATACTTGTGGAAAACTGGAGAATATAGAAATATTTTTGGTTTAATGACGTGTCAATTCATAGTTAGTCAAAAAGAAACCATCCTCCACCCTGATGATCAAACACTTCTCCAAAAATGATAAATTGCAACATCGAACCTGCAGTGCAACATCCACATTTGTCATGCCAATGTTAGGTGTGGTGTATCCCAAAATAGTCTGTGCTCTTTTGCTCTGCAGCTCTCTGAACATACCCTCAACTGACACCACACATGTAAAACCAGCTGCATAATTCTGAAAATTTTTTATTTTTTTATCTGAAATGATATTACTTCTGTTATTCTAGGTTTTTTTTTTAATTTTTATTTCTGTGTCATGTTCCTCAGAAAGGGTGTGAAGATGACTGATATCGGTGGTTCATCATCAGAGAGTGGAGAGACATGATACAGTATGAGCTATAGGAGACGCATGTAAGTGTAATACTATGTTTTTGCAATGACATAACCACCAATATTGAATCTCACAATATATGTTACACACACCTCAGGGAGTGTCAGAAAGGGAGGTGTGTTGGCGAGTCTCTGTTCACTCACACTCACAGTTTTGCTGATGTCTTACATGATGACAGCAGATTAACAGCGACAACAGAGCTTGAAAAGTATCAAAACTACTTCTACACTTCTCCATCCAATCCTTTATTTTAATCTGTATTCGATTTCTTCTGTGGATATCAGAAGAACTAAACTGTACTGCAAGAGTGCTTTGAGAAATTTCTATGAACAATTTATGCCAACAGGGATTGAGTATTTTATTCTGAAATGGCAGACTTTGGATAAAGTGTCACTTTAATGTCTCCTGATATGGACACAGACATACTGTTATCTTATTGTCTGAAAACCTCAATGAAGGGGGGCAACATTTTTTTACAGAGAAATGGGGAAATTGAATGAGAAAATGCAATTTATAAAGCTCTAGCTATAATCTGCATAGTCAAGCCATCTGAAATAACAACTACAAATCTAAGTCAGTTGTCTCACATGAAAGTACACACCATGGTCTTGAATTACAAAAAATGAAGTGATTTGTATTTAAACTCTTCTTATTGATTTTTAACCCATTTTGCTTTTGCGGTGTGCAAACTGTTGGGGGTCAGTTCACTAGGTTTGACAAAGTGTGTGTATTTCTAACTCTTGAGTGTGTATAATTAGAACTACATCCATATTAAATATGTCTTATCTGGTCCTCCTAATAAGCATTTTGGGTAGACAGAAAAAACATCCATACAAGTGGTTGATAAATGGCTAATGAACAGAATATTTCAGTTCAACAGGCTATCTGCCATGAGTATTCATTCTCATGACACCGCGTAAGAGCCCTTAAGTGTCAACAGTGTCTTGAAGTGAGACAGAGAAAGGAATCCCAGGTTATGTCAATAAACATGGGAAGGTATCATAATCCCAGCGCTGTAATTGGATGCAGGCTTATGTTCACACATGACCATTTAAAACCATCCTGGTAATCCCTTTTCTTTTCTCAGGCGCCTGCAGAGTTGGTTAGCAGGACAGAGGGATTATACACTTTACTGGAGACAATACAAGGACTTTAACAGGTAAGACTGCCTGCTTTTTATTTAAAAGAAAATCCATTAGATCTGTCGGACACACATGTAGGTCGTACATTATTATATGATAACATAATAACATATTATATAAACATTAATATGCCTTATTATTATCATAACTTTATTGATAGATTTCTATGTGGAGAAGCTTGTACATGGCAACAGTATAACAGGAGTCAGAAGGAAAAGTACTGAAATAACTCAACTCCACCCACCAGTAATTGCTAGGGATAATTACGGACAATTTTTAGCAGGTCATACATAAGGATCGTGTGTAGCGACAATTATCCCCCGACTCTGCAGCTCTACTGAGCTTTTTAGCTTCTTTTAGTTCATTGTTTTGATTTTACAGCACATGTACTGTGTCAGTGTTCACTTCAGCCTCATATCCAGCTGCAGCAGGCAGCTGTTCCCACCAATAACTGAGAAACCCATTGTAAGCTACCTGTCCAGCACCAAGCTACATAAAACAAAGTTAGCAACCAGCTTGTGAAGAAAGTGGAACATTTAACGAGGCAGACATTTTTCTCAGGAGGAGACAGAACCAGAGCTAAAAGAAGAGAGAATGTTGGACTTGCATTAAATTTGACTTATGGTAGATTTGCTCAGCTCCCAAGTGACTATAAATAATGAATACTGCTTTTAATGGGAGTAAATGGGTATTTTTCTATTGTATCAGTTTAGGTTAAATGACTTGCAAAGTTGTAGTTCCTGTGCAATTGTTCAATGAAAGAAGACATTTTGTGTACAGTTTCCCCAACCAGACTTTTCCCTCTTTGGATTTTAACTGCTAATCAACCAGCCCAGAACATTACTACCATCTGTTTTAAACTGTCAGAGTACATCCCCTTTCAGCAGCAGTCATGGTGGATGCAGCAGCAGCGGAGCAGTTCCTGGATGCCAACCCGCAATTTGCCAAGCAGTACTACGACATCAACTTCCGGCCTAAGGTCATCTCGGACCTGTTGGACAACAACCGAAAGGCGGCACTGGACGTTGGCAAGTTTCATGAGCTGTCGACGGTGGAGGAGAGCGAAGTCCTCTTTGACTTGATGCGGGACATCCAGGACAACCTGCAGATGGAGAAGTCCATCTTCAACCTCATGAGACACCTCAGCTTCATGATGAGGGCTGACCGCATGAGCCTCTTCATGTACCGGCAGAGGAATGGTGTAGCTGAGCTGGCAACAAGGTGACTGGGGAAGAAGCTTTTTCTGCACGCATTTTCAAATGAAAAGGGAAAATCAAAACTGGCCTGACACGCACTCCACACTCTTACAGTCTCTTATACTATTTTAAAGTCACACTGCTTCCTCTTCCTAGTTCCATCTCCTCCACCTCACCATTACCTGGTGAGGAAATGTTTCTCAAACTTTGCCAGCACGGAGCACATTGCCTACATTTTCAGGCAAATCTTCAGGGAACCATATTTAATGAACACAGATGCTGCTTTTCACCAGCACACTGCTTCACATTCATACACTTCCAGCTTAATTAAATCAGAGAATGGTAGCTGAGTGTATCCCAGATTTGTACACTTTCTATTTATGCAGTTATGCATTTTCATGCCCATGAAAGGAGCCCACTACAAACACACCTGTTAGTATCTCCATTGGTGATATTGAATGTGGTTGCTTTGCTTACGGGCGCATTGATAAGTGTTGAGGAACATTTGCATTCCCTCTCTGTTTAACTTTTGTCTGAATGGCAGATTCCCTGTTTGAGTTGTAATTAAAAGAAAAAAACCTACTTCAGTTTCACAGCACATTATAATTTTATTGTCCTTATCTTTACCTGCAGGTTATTTAACGTCCATAAAGATGCAGCATTTGATGACTGTCTGGTGCCACCTGACAGTGAGATTGTTTACCCGTTGGATATGGGCATTGTGGGCCATGTGGCCTCCACCAAGAAGATGGTCAACATTCCTGATGTGTCTGAGGTAGATACACATGGTGTTTAATGTTCATCAGTAATGTGGCACTGATGCCTACATCAGATACTGATGTGGGCATCAGTGCCATGTTAGTAGTACAAATATTCATTAAAAAAATCTTCTACATTTAATCGACAAATAGAGTAGAATGTGGCAAACTTCTTCCTCCCAATTCATTTTCTTTACTTTTGCCTCCTGTTGCAATTAAAAAGTTGAATAGAAGCATCAACAAATAAATACGTGCACAATAAAATCAAGGAAAACAAAACCAAGAAACAAACGAGCCAAAAATAGAGTATATTCGTCTCTATTTACTTTCAGTGGTGTAGGTCATCCCTCAGTTATATCTTTTGATGGTTATATCTTTTAAAGGTGCTATTTGTAAATTTCTCTACTTCTTCATAGCCAACATTAGCATTAGCAGCTTTTTACTTTACTTAGTTCAGCATCAAACTTCATTCCTTTACTCACCAAGAGCTGTCTCCAGCTGTGGTAAGCAACGGCAATGTTAACTCTTGTCTCTATAACGTCTTTTCTTCTACTGAAATTAGCATGCTAACCATCTAGCCCCGGCCCATGTCGTGACTTTCCGATAGCAACTCACGGTAGCCTCCAGTCTGCCCTGAAGATGTAACTGCTCTGAGGGTGTATTATAACCTCTTGTATTATAAAAACAATGACAGCCAAAGCTCTTGTGGCAGAGAAAACTTATTTAAAAGACATACAGTTGGACCCCACTGTAGATGTCTTCTGAAAGTGTATATTTATTTAGAGCAACTTAAATGGATGTATATATTTGTAATATGAAAGACCCATGTGGGAGTGAAACCCTGTCATCCTGTATATGTATAGCACACCAGTGTTTAAAAGAGGATTCATGTGCTACTTGTTAAAAGCTGTTGAGTCATTAAATCGGTACAGCTCAGATGTAACATTTTTAAAGAATCCGAAAACCAGTTTGTTGATCTACAACTTCATCCAGCGAATAAATCCTTTCTGTAAAAATGAAACCATTTCTATATAAAATTGGTTCATTGCTCAGTAAACTTTTAATCCCTGTTTGCTGTAGTGTCAGAGCAAGTCCACTGTTGCTCTGCCTGTGTTTGACCACCAGAGGGCGACTTGACACCACAATGTCAACGCTGTTGCTAATTCCCTCCAACCAAAGCCAGCTCAATCTCATTATAGCCAATACCTTTGACATTTGAAAATGGCTGGCAAGCTTATTCCCATGTACACTTCAAGTTTGTCATGCTACTGCAGATCCACCACCTTCTCCTCCACCCCCTCCCCTCTCCCATTCTAGCAACTGTTATTGTAACATTTACACTCAGTAAGGCAGCAGCCCACTCCACATAACTGATGGATTACAAGCCCTCCTCTGTATCAGTTCAGTCACATCTTTTCATGGGAGATTAGAAAGCTCAGCTGCTGATGTACAAATGAAACAGACTCATTTTTGATTGTTCCTGTTTGGTTTTTATCTGTTGGTTCTGCTGCCAGGCCGGCCTGGTGTGCCTTCACTGTGAGCCGTGCTGTTCAAACCTCCGTCCGTCACGCCGCAGTCTCACACAAATACATGAAAGCACGATGGGAAATGTGGCAACTGGAACGATATCAAAGCCTCCAAGCCTCAGTCTCCCCAGTCAGAGCGGAGGAACAGCTAATGTTTCCATATAATTGGTTGACTTTATGATGCTAATGCAGTGTGGATGGTTTTTCAGAGTAGTGCAGAGACTGGGAATCACTGTCTCTCTCTGTACTCTATTTCCCAGTCCAATCCAGTGTAGGCCGGTCATCCAGTCAGGATTCTTGTAGGTATAAAGTAGGGATTATGTTTCACTGGGATTATGTAGTGAGCAACAGCTGGCCTCATTTCTCCCACTTCATCCATCCTTTCCTCCTTCAAAGTGAATTTAATAATCACACACAATACAGCGTAATGACTGCGACTGTTATTTGAGGTGTGGTTCCTCTGGACATGTGCGTGTGAGGAAGGTGCAGAGTGTCAAGCGGAGGATGTTGCAGATGAAGCCGGTTAATCTGTCCTGAATTAGAGCGATCCCAGATTACTCCCAGAGGTCAGGCAGGCCCTGAGCCATTTTCACAGACTCAGCACAATAACACACCTTTAATCTATCCTGTTACACTGTTGTTTCGCTTTATTTATTTTTTCATTTGGTGGAGTAGAAACACCCTGAAATCCACTTAACCAGTTAATGTGTAATAATCCTAGAGGCTATATTATCCAGAGAGGACTTTGTATTCTCATATTTATTATGTATGCCTTTTTTTGGATACATGTATTTGCATGCATTATAAATTGATGAGTATTGATTTGACTGCTGAATCTCTAAACCCTGAAATTCTGACACCATCCTACAATGACAAATATTAAAGGTCTAACCACGGATAGTAGAGTTTGAATTTTGGAACATATGTGGTCATTTGACTTTTTCCCTGCAAAGCCCAGCTGGAATGTTAAATGATAAAGAACAGCGCAGATGAATAGTGTATATAAATAAATAATTTGTGTTTTTCTGTGTCAAAATACAACTTGTGCTTCTAAAGTGTAGAGCTGCTGTGTAAAGGTCAATGCAAAGGTTCAGCTGAGGATAACAAGCAGGATGAAGACCTCTCTCTGGGCTTTAGGGGGTCAAAGGTCACCCAATAATAAGCTGTCAAACTGCCCAGATCTTTGGAACAGGTTTGTTTGTAAAGCTCTTTCAGGCTGCAGTTGGAGCAACTTCTGTATGGTGCTGATCCAGGATCAGCCTGGTCCCCCTCATAGTGATTTTCTCTTATGTGTCCTGCACTGTTACGGCATTTCAGATCAACCGCTATGTAGAGAGAAAAATCCGACTTAATGCCTAATGATATTATGACTGAAGGTGCAGGCTGAGAGTTGCTCACATCTCATTACTGACGCGTAAATTAAAAATATAAGATGACAAAAATGGCACGAATGTTGAAAATGTACTTTTTACTCTCCTACATTTTAAACTCACAAAATGCCTCTTTTTCGTTTTTTTTTTTTTACCAACCTAGGATATATATATATATATATATATATATGTAGCTGGGTAGAAGAAGAGGGTTTGAGATGCTGTTCAGGTTTTCTTGCTTTGCATGTCACAGCAGCAGTATTAAAATCTCTGGGGGTGGAGACTGGAAGTCGGAGATGATGCAAATGTCTTGATTTTGAGGAGTGAATTCCTGTGGGTGAGAGTGAGGTTTGTAAAAGAGGCAGATAAAATAGTAGAGTGATAATAATTTCCCTCTATGCTGCTCTGCATCATGCAATCTCTATTAAAGACTATAAATTATGTTACTCTGGCAAATTGCCCTGACTTACTGATTCCTAACCTGCAACTAAATTGTGTGTTTCTTGTTTTCAGCCTTACCCAAAGCAGGAAATAAGATCTGAACAAAAACTCAAACATTGCCTAACCTAAATCAAGGCTATCACCAATTCTGGTCCCCCAAGGGTCGTTCTCTGCAAGTTTTTGTTCCCTTTTTTGCAGCTAATGAGCCGCTCTTCCTCTATTTCACCCTCAGAGGAACACAATTGATGACCCCTGCTGTACAGGAGGAGCAGTAGGTGGAGTGCAGCAGAGAGGGCCTTGAGTTTGTGGATAATTGAAGCCCTTGCTAGCAGCATTTATGGATAGAAGTGGTGTGTTCATCAGAACTGGCTCTGGGAGTTGTGAGAGCTGCAGGGGCAAAGAGTATAGTAATTAAATACAATCAAATCCTTTCTTTCTCCTTTCTCTTCATAGAGCCCTCATTTCAGTGACTTTGTGGATGAGCTGACAGAGTATCAGACCAAGAACGTCCTCGCCATCCCAATCATGAACGGTAAAGACATGGTGGCCGTCATGATGGCCATCAACAAGTTGGACGGAACGCGCTTCACTGCCAAGGATGAAGAGGTAACATCTAACACTGTCTGACCTGGAAACTGAAATTAAATTTTCAGCTCGGTCAAAACCTGTTTCAAAAAGCCTCGAAACAAGAAACAAGTGCAAACATGCTTTAAAAATGACCAAATATGTGCTGTCTACACCTAAATATAATCAGTAGTTTTTAAGATATCCTGCTAAATAATAAATTGATAAACAGACAGTCACCACCAATGACCTGGTTGTACATTTAGATCTATGGGAAAGAATCAGTAAACATTGTGGTCGAGAGTGCACATTTGATGAGCGTGATGCTCGTGTATTATTACGATATGATATGTTGCTGACTGACGGCACAAAGGTAAAAGTTACTAACAAATTATGTCAAACTGAATATTGTTATGGTGGTCACCACTGCAATTAGAAAATGTTTTGAAGATGTAAATCAAATGCATTTCTCAGGATCCAACGTGTGCTGTTTTCTTTTAGACCCTAAACAAGTACCTGAACTTTGCCAACCTGATCCTGAGAGTTTTCCATCTGAGTTACCTGCACAACTGTGAGACCAGGAGGGGACAGGTGAGGCTGCAGAGCACGTAGCACTCCATATATGCTCTCCTTTAGGATCTGAATTAACCTCGTTTCCTTTAAAGATTTACTAAGCTGCTGAAAGTGTCCCCCGTTTGACCCGATGCTTTTAGAATCAGCGTGAACAGTACAAAACTGCATTTTTCAACAAAAATAATGTGGATATGTGATACAAAAGAAGACAAAAATGAATATGCAAAGAAAGTGACACAAGCAATGTATATGGTGTATTTGAGAAGATGCCCCAATTGAGTAAATTTGTAAAAGCACATAGTATAAAAAACAAAATGTTGGAAGCCAGTAAGAGTAACAGTCAGGTATGAGGAGGAGGAATTCTGAGTTTCAGCCCTTAAACTGTTGTTTTGTGTTGTTTTCTCCTCTGCGGCACAGGTGCTGCTGTGGTCGGCCAGCAAGGTGTTTGAAGAGCTGACGGACATAGAGAGGCAGTTCCACAAAGCCCTGTACACAGTCAGAGCTTTCCTCAACTGTGACCGCTACTCTGTGGGTCTGCTGGACATGACCAAGACCAAGGTGGGTTACCATAGATGCACACTCAGAGTCAGGGATAAGCTGGATAAGCTGGAAAACTAACAAAGCAACAAATAAAGAGGTCAGCAAGCAGCACCGCAATCCTATCTGTGCCAGGCTGATTTAGTGTCTTTGGTGCCTCATTTTTACATTCATTTCCAGGTTATGGACCAGGTCACTTGAATAAAGCTTAAGCTTAAATAGTCAAAACACTTAATTTAAAAGCAGATTTGTGAGCAACAAGCAACGTTTGGGGCTTAGTTTTGGTCTTTAAATCTGTGCATGGGTTCAGGAAATGTAGAAACTGTACAGTATTTGAATCTGAAATAAATTTGAAATCCTAGAATAAAAAGGAATTACTGTATATAACAATAAACCTTTACAAATTTTAAACTAAATGCACCCATTGCTCATCACATACGCACTGCTGTTTTTTTAGTACTTCCACGCCAAATGAATTTTGATGAGAAGCATTTCTTTCTTTTTCTACTCATCTTTTGAGAAGAGATATTTTTCAGAAACTCCTCTGGGGTGTCTTTGTTTAATCTCCACAGTATCTTTGTCTCATTTTAGTTTTTGTGTCAGTGAACGAAATAATACTTCTGATCAGAACGTCTGATTATTGCCGTACTGTCCCCGTGTATTTGTGATAACCAACATGTCATGAATACTACTTATTGGCTGTAGCTGTCACCTAATTATAAGCAGCTGCCAGTTGATTCCCAACACCTGGCATCTGAGAACAAACACATGTTGTCTGTCTGCACAGATGGTTGTCTGGTAAAGATACTGGGTTTCATGAATAAAGCACTTAAGAATAAACAAAACTAGTAGATCAGCTTTAAGCCAGCATTTTGGAAACTGTGCACTTTGTGAAGACACAGGGAAAAAAATCATTACACGCTCCCTAAGAGGCTGCTGGCAATTAACATTTTCAGGCAGGATGGTGCTGTTGGATGGAACCTACAAAGTAAGTGCATCTAAATAATGAAACAACAGAAGTAGCCACATCAGCTGTGTTGTTCCACTCTAAATCTTCTGTTCTCTCTCTCCCTCTCTCCGTGTGTCTGTAGGAGTTCTTTGACCTGTGGCCCGTTTTGATGGGAGAGGTTCCACCATACGATGGACCCAAAACTCCTGATGGCAGGGTGAGGAAACATTCATCAATCCTACAACTACAGCTGTTACTACTGCTCCTACTACTGCTGCTAAACCCAGCAGTTCTCATGTTGAAGACTGTGATCAGTATTCTCAGTCAGTAACCTGATATTTACTCTGGTGCCATCGGGTAAAATGTCCCTCTGGCTATGGCTTATCCATGAGAAGATAACTGTAAGATTTATGGCAGAATTTTCATAAAGTGTGTAGTTTATTGGCCTACAGAGGATGAATCCTGTTTCTTTAGTGATTCTCTGACCTTTCTTCGAGCACCACCATCAGGCCACCAGTGAGGCTTTCTGACTTTTAGTTACCTCCACCAAGGAGGTTATATTCTCACCCCTGTCTTGTTTGTTTGTTGGTTGGTTTGATTGTTTGTCAGCAGGATTACACAAAAAGTACTGAACAGATTTGCACCAAACTTTGTTGAGGGGACAAAGGCCCGGAAAGAACCCATGAAATTCTGGTGCTGATCCAGTTAAAGGGGTAGATCCAGGAATAGTTTTTTTCACTTTCCTTGACGTTGTGAGATTTCTCAACACTTTTGTTAGCTTCTCAGGAAATAATGTTTGTGGATGTTGATGTAAAACATCACACATATTTAGATAGATAATAATTTGGATCTAATCTGGATGCAGATCTGTTTTGTAAGTATTTTGATTTGTGATTGATTTATTTTTGCTATAATTAGGCCAAGGTTTTTATCAGCGTAAACAACATAGTAACAATAAATGGTATTCATCTTGGCATTCAAATTTTAAATGTATAATTTTAGAGTCATAAGATGTGGCTCTGTTGCTGTTGCTACTACCATTGTGTCACTAAAGCTGCTACAACTTTAGCACAACCGAACACTAATATTTACTTACTCATTATCTAACTCAAGGTCCACTTACAGCCTTTTTCTGCAGCTTTCAACTGTATCTCATGGTCTTTATCAGCAGGTGGAGTGTTCACCGTCATCAGTATTTCACAACTTGATCATGAATTAAGACTTTTTTGTCCTAATTGTATATATATATTAGAGTTGTGTATATATATTAGTCTCAGGATACTTTTAGATAATGAACTTAGAAAATATGACATACCAACACAGTAAATAACTATTAAATGTTCTCCCTTTATTCAGAATCGCTGTTGTCATACTATATGACCTGTTCAAATAAAATATCTTGTCCACACAATGTCCCTCTGATGTTTATGTTGTGTGTCTTCTAAAGGAAATTATCTTCTACAAACTGATCGACTACATCCTCCACGGCAAAGAGGACATCAAAGTCATACCGTGAGTCACAGCACAGATCTAGTTTAAGGTGTTTGGAGAGGTGATTATTAAAGGTGAGGAGGGACATGCTGGGACCATGTTGGAAAAAGAGACTGCAATGTCATATCCTCCTCACAGACAAAAAAAATACCAGACAATCTACATCATGGCTAATGAAAGAGTAAAAAAAAAAATACCATTTCTGACACTTGGCATAACATAGGGCATAGAGCCATTTAATTTTTTATGAGCAAATAAAGTCTATTATCAAACATGGCTGCTGGTTTAAACATTAATAATCATCCAAACATTTCATACAGAATAGTCCTGACAGTCCCACCTGTGTAAACAAAAAGTTGTACAAGTTATTTAATCCTGGGAGCATTAAATTAATACTGACACTCACTACAAATTACATGATTATTTTGTTTCCTGTTGTTGTGAAAAACGATGATGATGATGATGATAATGAATAAATGTTGTGATTGTTGTGGCTTGTTTGTCCACAGGAGTCCTCCAGCAGATCACTGGGCCCTGATCAGCGGTTTACCCACCTACGTCGCCGAGACTGGACTGGTCGGTGTCTGTCCTGTCCTCTTCCTTTGTTTGAAGTTTGTTTGAGATTTATTTCAAATGTCAGAGCAATGTCCTGAAGTGAGCGTAAACGCTGCAAGATTATCCCAGCACCGTGACAGCATCGTGAATACCGAATAAAATCACATTAATTAAGGAGCACAAAGTAAAACCCCCAAAAAAGTTCCCATTTGTAAACTTTGTCAGGTGTTGGGTTTCAAAACTGAACTTCACAACCGTACTCTCCATCGTGGTGTTCATGAGGCACAAAAGCCCAGCAAGCTAAATGTTTCTATAAATAATTCTGTTTGGTTCCATGACACGGACACTGACACTGGTTCAGATGTGTCATGTTTCGGCTCACAGAGGAAAATTCAGACCGCTGAGATTTGAATTGTAAAATTCAAAGCTGTTGACTTCTGCTTAAATTATAGGAAGATTCCATATGTCATCTTTAAGTTTGTGCTAATGGGCATCAGAACTGTGCTTCGTGAGCGGCTTCGAGCTGTAGCAGCATACTTCATCATTCTTCCTCCTCGGTCTTGTGTATGTGTAACTTGTGTCTGCCAGACAGGTTTTCTAAGGTTACTGTGAGGAAAGGCCTTAAATCAAAGCAGATGAGGGCGAGAAGTATAATCAGATTTAAATTTAAAGCATCAAGGTGTCACATTTACATTCTTAACTTACAATGAGTTACTGAAGGACACTTTGGCAGGTCACGTGGACTCACTACGATTGTTGAAGGTATCGAACATGTGACCTTTCTACAAGAGGCTCCACCACCCGGGAGCCATAACATGCATGAATTAAACAACAAATGAATAATGAATGAACAGTGAGCAGGTTGAATACGAACAGTGGCAGCTCTGTTCAGCAGGGGAGAGATAAACTTTAAATGTAGTAATAACAACAACCTTTTTTTTGGTCCATTTTACAGCAGATTTTAACACAGTGGAGCAGAAATCCCAACACAAGGGCTGTTTGGGACTTTAGATGTCAGTGTGAAGAATTTACAGATTTTAATCAAAAAACACAGAGCAGCGTATTCAGCATGTTCAGATTTACAACCTGTGGCATGTGCAGGGAGTTCGACCAACTCCTCTAGCGTGGAGACCGACAACAGCCAAACAATAAAAACTAAAGTAATGATAATGTGTATAGTACCTCTTAAAGTTCATGAAGTTAAAGGCTTTGAGGAAAACTGTGCTACAACCAAGCAGCTTCCTCCAGGGCTAAAGATCAAGGCCAACACAGCAGTGCCAAAAACTGCAGTTTCTCAAATGACCACTTGAGGCTTCAAATAGAGTCAATCCACATAGACAATTTCCTCCTTCATGACAACTGTGAAGGGGTGAATTTTTACAATCAACTCACCTGTTTGAATTTTATTAAGGCTTAAAGTTCTGCATAATAAAGGGCGTGGCCGCTTTGAGTGACAGGTGGGTCAGGTGGTTTTCCTCAGCAAAAACTTGGCAATCTGGAAAAGTGCTTGTAAATATCACCGAGCACTGGAGGTTCCTGCATAAACATAAAACAATTTCTGAGCCACAGTAAAAATGAAGGTTTAATCTCCACCAACTGACTGAACTGAAGAGAAATTGGTCTCCACGGTCTGACCAGGTTTCTTCAACTAACCATATTTAAACCATTTCTTATCTAATAGCTTAAACCAAATGTCTCAAATATCTGGTGTTGGCCAGTGAGCAATTCCATACAGGCTTGCAGATTTTTATTTATTATTTTTCCAAAATCTTTAGATTGCTAATTTAGTGTTTCTGGTATCTAAACTGTGCAACGCAACATAAACATTTTAATTTGGCAGCATGGACAGCGTTTCTCTGCACCTGATACCAAAATGTTTCTGAAGAAAGTTAGTTTGTGGAACTTGCTCGCAACATGTTGGGAGGTACAGCACTACATTTACCTTAAAAACTTATTTTTTTTTTTTTAAATACACTAGTTATTCTGCTGTGTAACGCCACAAGAAGCTTGTACATTGTCAGATTTAGTCCAATATATTAATCGACCTTGTATGGTGACATTTTGGGTGTTTTCACAATCAGTGGACGTGTCTGGATTCAACCAAAACCTGTAGTTCTGAAGAAATTCTCCTTAATTCTCCTCATCTCTTGCTCTGACTTTAAGAGAACAACTTTCTCCTCTGCTGTGCAGGACTCTGTAAAACCAATGTCCTCTAAAAAATTTCAGCATATCTTTATAGGAATCTGTGGGTGGTCAGACGAGCAGAACGCCATTAGGCCTTATTACACAGTTGTCAGTGTGCACACCGTTGTGGAAATGAAAAGTGCTCAGCCACACGCTGCTGTGATGTATAATTGTAATTTCTGCAGCCAATGTAATTAATTACAGCACGCTTTTCCCAAACCACTGAGCCCGCCGCTGCTCGTCTGTCTATCCCTCCTTCTGCTTCAGCCCGTCTGTGCTCTTCCTGTCCTTCCATCGTCTTTGCTGCTCGTCATTTTTCAACTCCACATCATCTTCCCATGCTCCTCTCCTCCTTTCTTCTTCTTCTTCTTCTTATTCTTCTTCTTCTTCTTTCTACATCATGTAAAATGTGAAAACTTCATTTCTCCACAGAGTCACCTTTTCATAAGTCGAGTGAAAGAGAAAGACATGTCAGATTGACACTAATGCTTTTGGATGCCATTTGATTAAACTGTGAAGCATTCAAACTTTGTCAGCTTCTGATAGTAACATATGAACATGTGGTACGTCAAGCCAAGTGAGGACATGAGAAGTTTGACAGTTTTATCTCTTCTTATTTGTTCTAGCCATTTTCATGTTGTTATTCCTTCTAAACCTGACCTTTTCATATTTTGGTAATCCTTACAGATTACACTGGCAATTAATTCACAGAATAAACCACGCATTTTTTTTCTTTACCCCAAAACCAGAATCAACCCCCCCTCACTTTATAGCATAATTATCCTCAACTTTTTTCTCTCTTCCTTTTTTCAACAGATTTGTAACATAATGAACGCAGCAGAGGATGAAACTTTTGAATTCCAGGTAAGATGACTGCAACTTTTTTTTCTTTATGGAAGCCCTGGTTAAGAGACAAATCATTTTTCCGCCGTATGGTACTGACTCAACTCCACTCCACTCGCTTTTGGTGCCATATACTTTTTCCACTCAGTGTGGTGTTGTTACTATAGTAATGACAGACAAAGCTACTGTGACATCATCTTCAATGCGACACACACATGAACAATGGAGGACATCGAAAGGATACCAAACATTTGCAAAAAGTACCAGGTACCAGTTCCTATCCATAACTTTTACTTAAAGGAAAACCAAAAAAGTAGAGTTGAGTGGAGTCGAGCCGGTACCATGCAGCAGAGAAGAGCCAGTCGAACAACAACAAACAGCTCAGTTGCAACACAAGTTTAAGCCAAAACTTGCAGAACAAGACCCCAAATCGAAAGAAAACAATTATAGAATATTAAGTTACCCAGTAAAACGTGAAGCATCTATTTTTCCAGAAACATAAGGGACTGAAGATCAACGGCTTAATTTGTTTGCACCACAGTTGATTGTGTTTACTATGAAAAACACTGCATGAATGATTTGTGAAAAGAAGGAAACTAAAACTTTTATTTTTGCGAGGAAAGTTACAAACAACTGACTTTCAAAACTTATATTTAAGCTTTCTGACACGGTGAATATGTCTCAATCCTCTATAGACGTGAATACAAAATGTTGGCTGGCTAATTAGTCACTCACTACTGCAGTTTATTAAAATCTTGATGCATTGCTTCCAAATTTAATGAATATGCAGGTAAATGAAAAATGTCCTAATTATCTGCTGCAAGATGAATAGTTGTAATATACATTTACATTTATTCACTTGGCAGAAGCTTTGGTCCAAGGCAAAGTACAAATATGACCATCCACAGATGGTATCGCATTATTTTGACTCATATTATTATTATTATTATTATTATTTATTTATTACACTTTTAATTATCTAGGAAAGAATACATTCAGTTCACCCCAGCCTCACACTCATATATTTATGCAGCTTAACACCTGTAGTTGCTGTGAGAGAGGAGAGCGGTTTGGCTCATCTTTATCTGTGATCAGATCTTCTTGTAAAGAACTAAATGACATCAACATTTTTCAGTCAGATTACAGTAACTGCATTTGCGCTTGAGTGATGGGAATAAAATGGAGCTGAGAGTATATGTGAAATAATGAAGTTAGCTATATAATGGTCCCTCTCGTGTCATAAAAGACCACCAGAGAACAATCATAAAGAACGATTGTAATGTCCTCTGTGAATAAATGATATGTCCCACATTCTCTGCTCTCCTCAGTTTAAATTGGTTTCCTGAAGGCTACTAAGCTCCCGATGTATTTATCTTTATTGTACTTAGTTTCTGATACAGTGCTAGCCAATGTACCTGCTCATGTACCTGTGGCCAGTATACCTGCTCATACATTCACCCTGTTTCAGAACTGCTGACAGCGAGTGTCTGAATGTTACCGGGACGACCCACCATTATGTCCTCTTACACAGTTTGAGGTTGAGTTATGTTGCTATTATGTGTTGTAATTTTCCTCATGTAGCCACTTTCCTCCAACCTGCCTTATGCAAATCTGCTTCATCGGGGTTTCCCTACATTTCCCAGAAGACTTTGAAACTGTTTTTTGTACAGTGGTAAGATCCATCAGAGAAAGGGTCATCCCTTAATGAAAACCCCCCTATTATTATCTCTGTGACTGTAGATGATTATCTCTGTTTCTTCTTGTATGGCTGTTGAAAGTTGGTAGAAAATGGCACTTTGCTGTTTTTATTGCTTCTGCTCTTCTATTTTTTTTCCAGTTACTTTATACTTAGCTTTTTTAAGAACCTGTAAAGCACTCTGAACTACATTTGAATGGAAATGGTGCAACAAAAATGAAAACATTTTCCATCATCAGACTCCATTTAGCTGCTTTAAATAACTCAACTTTGGATCATTACATGATGTTTTTCCAGATGTCCATTCGTGGTGAATCGTGCAATAAACTACTATATATTTTTTAATCCAAGAATATCCTGTTATGTTTTCCAACTCTGATGAAGCTAAAGGGCTGCATTAGTTCACCAAGCATCCATTTAAAAAGTGTTAGACTCCAACAACACTTGCAGCAGCAGTTTGTTGAGATTTTAGGGGCAGTGAGCAGGTGAATTATTGATTCTTTTCACTTTTCCTCTGAATGTAGAAGTTCACGTTACATTTCTGTCAGGTTCCTGCTTTCATGATGGAAAAATGGTCAGCAAAACAACGTTACTGGATTTTAAAAGAAAGTCCCCATATTACTGTCTTAAATATATCGCAGCAACAATGTAGATAAGCATATTCTAATTTACAGCCACTGAAATAATGCATTTTGAACTGTGTGTGTGTGTGTGTGTGTGTGTGTGCGCGTGTGTGTGTGTGCGTGTGCATGTGCACGCAGAAAGAGCCTCTGGATGATTCTGGCTGGACCATTAAGAACGTCCTGTCGATACCAATTGTCAACAAGAAAGAGGAGATAGTGGGTGTGGCCACGTTCTATAACAGGAAGGATGGGAAACCCTTTGATGAAATGGATGAAACACTGATGGAGGTACAGCCTGTGTGTGTGTGTGTGTGTGTGTGTGTGTGTGCGTGCGTGCGTGCGTGCGCGAGAGAGAGAGGGAGTCAGCACTGAGTCACTGAGTTTATAAATACACTCAGGCCATTCAGAGCATCTGCATTATTTATCACTGGGCCTTGAGGCTTTTTACTGAAGTCTCTCTATCCGCCTCTCTGCTCAGAACTCGGTTAAAATACACAACGTGACAGTTTGATCTCCTTTAACTTCAAAGTAGTTTTAGGAACAGTTTTTCTTTTTGACATTTTCATATGAATTTGATTTGCTATTTGCCTGAAAAGTGATTTGACCAACATTCACTTCAGAAAGCTTTTGTTTTAACAAATAGTGTGTGTGTTGTAGTGTTTGCTAAGCAAACAGGAAACTGGTGACAGTGGTGGATTGTAGCTAAGTATATTTACTGAAGTACTGTACTTAGTACAATTCTGAGGTCGTTGTACTTTAACACAGCGAACAAGAAACATGAAAACTTGGAAAGAAACAGGAGGAAGCATGATATATCCACTATATTTCAGAAGCACATATTAGAATTTTTGCTCCACTACATTTAAAACTTATAGGTCCTGGTTCCTTTTTTACACACCCATATGAATGAACGTCGGTGGAGGGAAAGCTTATTACAACCTCAGAATCGTTACAGCTCTGGAGGAATAAATGTCTATTTTTATTGAACAGGAATAGAAATAGATAATGAGCAAATCTTTCAGCCCTGTCTGAAAATTCAAGTATAATTTGACTAACAAGATAAGAGCAGAGGACAAAGTTGCACCAGTTTGTACCTCCTTTGAAGCTGGTATCCCATATGATCAGACTATTAATAAAAACCTGTTTGATTTGTTTGTGCAGACAAAGTAAAAATGTATTAGCATTACATATCAGATAGGTACATTGTGATTACTTCAGAAATCATAAAGCACAGATGTTTGTTTTTCACAAAACGATGTACAAACAAGTGAGATCATCCCTTTGGAGTCATTTGGATGTTAATGTGCTGAAGACTGTGCTTAAAAATGGAGCATAGCAAAAATAATATGCTCTATATTCCCCTGCATTCAGCGGCGCACACTGTAATGTATTTTGTAATATAACAGTTTGAAATGGTTCATTCTGCATAATGACTAATTTTACTTTGATATTTCAGTGCATTTTGCTGATGACTGTGCAATATGTTAGTTCAATTCAAATGCAGGACTTGTAATGGAGCATTTTCACATAGTCGAGTTGGGTTAGGGTTGAGTGAAGAATCAGAACTGTTTTCACCACTGAGAGCAGGTGATGTTTATATTTTCATTTTTAGGGTTGGACAAAAGAAGGCAGTTTGCTTGAGCAGTGGAAGAAAAGACTAGACTCAGTCTACAAACTCACAGAATCAATTTTGTCTTTCTCTCTCTCTCTCTCTCACTCACACACACACACACACACACACACACACCTCTCTGTCCAGTCTCTGACCCAGTTCCTGGGCTGGTCGGTGTTGAACACTGACACCTACGATAAGATGAACAAGCTGGAGAACAGGAAGGACATCTTCCAGGACATGGTGATGTACCATGTCAAGTGTCGCAAGGATGAAATCCAGAACGTTCTGGTTAGTAAGTAAATGTGGAAAAAGGGAGAGATCTGGTTCTCTATCACACCAACTATAGCAGGGATAAATATATCACTATGGATTTATCAAAATGTGTTTAAGGATAACATTGTGTAATAGTGTTATTCTGCGTGTTTCTCTCCAAATGGATTGTTCCAAACTTTTCCAAAAAAGAGTGTTTTACACACAGTTGAGTGTTTAAAGCCTGTTTTCATGAAAAGACCAATGAAGTGATGTTTTTTTTTCTGTAATTGGCCTCTTGAGCTTCTTGCAGTATATAATGGCGGCTACAGTGATACAAAAGGTGTATTTCATGTCCCTTATGAATTTATTGTTGTTGTTATAAAACAAGTTGGTAATGTGAGCCTGGAAGAAAGTATTAAATGTAGGCAAATTGTGGTTTGTACTTCAGTTACTACTGTCTACTTTTGTCAAATTAAATCTAATATCTGTTCTCATTCTCTTCTAAAATTACCTGGAAATCTTATGTAGTAAAAGCTGAATAAGAAAGATTAATGCATTTTACAGCCCCATTGAAACTAGAGGCTGCAGCATTTTGTTGACATTAAACCTTAGAGACCGCTGCTGGACCACAATGCAGATATTATCCTTTAATATATGTGCTACTCAGAACAAAACCAGTCAGTTTGAAGCCAGTCTGTTGATGTGGACGATAGAAACAGGAGGTGAGCATCGTTTATAAGGTGAAATTGGCTGTCAGATTTTGTATGAGGTGATTTGTCAGTAGATAGAGAAACAGGCAGAGGGAATGAAAGCAGAGAGAGATGACCTGATGTGACCTCAGATCAGGAGTCAGATGATTGATGCTGAAGTGTTTGATCCAAGGTGAGCATTGATGATGTGTGTTTCCCCAGAACACCAGGGAGAGATGGGGGAAGGAGCCAGATGAGTGCGAGGAGGAAGAGCTCCAAGAGATTCTGGTAAACAACAAAACGTCCAGCTTGTGCCTTCAGAAATTCCAAAAGCTATCCTCAGTGCAAACAAAGAAATACATTTCCCCTGATGCACCATGACTGTGAATGAGATTTTGTGACATTTATTATATTGACTCTACAGATCAAAGTCATGACCTTTTTTGTTTTTAAGGTTTCTCATTTTTCCACAGTCCTATGTGGCGGTGTCGTCACATGATGCACACCAAGCTGTGGCGACATGATTCAACAAATCTACAGTATGAATTTATGTATTTGTCCATTTCTGTCCACAGTCAGAGGTTTTGCCGAGTGCGAAGAAATCTGAGATCTTGGAGTTTCACTTCTGTGACTTTGAGCACAGTGAACTGGACCTGGTGAAGTGCGGCATCCAGATGTACTACGAACTGAAAGTGGTGGACAAGTTTCACATTCCCAGAGAGGTTTGTTAATTCATTTGTATTTGATGTTCATATTCTCCCCTAATTTTTTGCCAAATAACATTCCACGATGTAGATTTCAGAGGCTGACATTCATAAGGTTGGAAGCACCATTCACACCATTGAAAATAATTTATTTCCAATATCCTGAAGTATCATCAGTTCTTTTCTCTATAAGACTTAACCATGTGTGCTTGTGGACCTGCACTCGTTAATAATGTGTCATAGATAAACACAAACAAGCGGTGCAGAGTGGTGTTGTTTCATCCTGTGTCGTTTTTCTGTCACATGATATAAGCGGTAAAGTGTGTGTTACCTGCAGGCCCTGGTGAGGTTTGTTTACTCTTTGAGTAAAGGCTACAGGAAGATCACCTACCACAACTGGAGACATGGATTCAACGTCGGACAGACCATGTTCACCCTGCTGATGGTCAGATACGCAGCCTCTCTCCCTCCACCCTCTTCTTCTCCTTAATTACTCATCACTCCCTCACCTCCTGCTCTCAATCATTTCTTCCTCCTCCTCCTTCCCTCTCCAGTAAATCCTCTCTACTCCTCCTCCTCCATCTCACCTCTCATCTTTCCTGTTCCTCTTCCCTTTATTGTCCTCCTCCTTGGTCCCCCGTATTGTCACCTGAAATGTTCTCTACATGTGACCATGCATGTCTGTGCTGTGTTTATATGGATGTTTGTGTATAAGTGAGTAAACGAGAGATAATGAAGTGTGTCTGTAAATGATAAAATGAGTCAGTGTTTTTTGAACTGGTTATTAAATAAGAAAACCAGTGAGTGGAAATCCTGCACTTGTTTGTGTGCTGAATGCATGGCTACATGTGTGTTAACAATTTATGTTCGTGTTCTCAGACCGGCGATCTGAAGCGTTACTACACAGACCTGGAGTGTATGGCCATGGTGACTGCTGGCCTCTGCCACGATATTGACCACAGAGGAACCAACAACCTCTACCAGATGAAGTAAGAGCAACGGGGGGGGGGGGGGGAGTAGCGGGGGTGAGGGAGTGTTTCAGCATGTCAGTAAATCAACCGAAAGGTAACATGTTTGATCCCTAAACAGCCTGTGTGTCTGTCTGCTACAGGAATAAAACTTAATTAGATTTATATATTTGGAAAGTTACTTTCAGAACAAGGTCTTTACGCACTGACCTTTAGAGGTAACAAGTAATTTTAGAAGGAGCTGGTCATTTGAGTGACTTTGCACTTAGTGTTTAATTACATTTTTTTTTTTTCTATCACCTGAATATAATGGAGTGCAGTACAACACCACTTTGACCTCAGCGCTAAAACACATAATTTCATTAATTTAATTAATAAAAGGCAGATTAATGTATTGGATTGCATTAGGTGTATGTAACACAGTGACCATGTTAAGGTAGTGGTTATTTGTGCTTTTGTTTTTTCTGTTTTTAAGGCAAAAGAGGCTGAAAACTACAAATATTTCAGTAAGTGTGAGAAAACTGAGGCACTCGTGATAATAAGCTTCAGCGTTCGTTAAACATGGGCATCAAGGACGATGAGGTGAAATGAGACCAGCTTAGCAACCAGTGGTTTAAAGAAGATGTTTTGATATTTCTACATAGCCAGCGTTAGCATTTTTACCAGTCTTGCAAAGAGCTTCTGCTATTGTTGCGTTTACAGGATAAGAGGTTATAATACAACCTCTGAGCAGCGTTACTTCTTCAGGGCAGACTGGACGCTACAGTGACTCAGTATCAGAAAGTGATTAGACAGTTCGACTGGGCCAGGGCTAGCTGGTTAGCATGCTAACTTCAGTAGACAATAAATAGAAGCAAAACAAGAGGGTGGTTTTCCACCACTGGAGGCGGCTCTTGGTGAGTAAAGGAATGAAGTTTGATGCAGAACAATGTTTCTCCTAGACTGGGAAGTGAACAGCTGTGATTACTAACACTGGCTATGTTACAATAGCAAAACTTAAGTATAGCTGGACACATGCACAATACAAAACATGTTTTTCAAACTATTAACTGAACAAAAGTAAAATCATATAGAATGATAAATATATGGCTTCCTTAATTACTTATTGCCGCCATGACCCCGTTTCTTCATGAGTTTCAGTTGCATTCATTTATAACTTTTCTCACTTTTTGAAATCAGACTGTTTGGTCATTCTGAGGGCGTTTAATTGATTCAAATTGACAGCAGCCACTCCTCCCGTGTTCGAGACGAGCTGACCTCAGCTCTTTAGGCGAAGGTAACATCACACACGGAGAACATCAATGCACTGATATTGACCAGATACACCTTCAGCTGCTCTGCCCCACCTGCTGATGGATGAGCTAATGAGAGCCGCCATTAGCCGCGGACGCAGCAGGCCAGGCCCACCCTGGATTTAACATGCATGATTTATCACAGTGTAACCTCCCATCATTGTGTGTGTGTCTGTGTGTGTGTGTCTGTGTGTGTCTGTGTGTCTGTGTGTGTGTGTGTCTGTGTGTGTGTTTGACACACAGTCTGGTAATCCTCTGGCGAAGCTTCACGGCTCCTCCATCTTGGAAAGACACCATCTGGAGTTTGGCAAGACTCTGCTGAGAGATGAAGTAGGTTTCAGTGTTCACACACACACACACACACACACACACACACACACACACACACACACACACAGGGGTGGACACATCAACACCTAAACATCTGTACATTGGAAAGCAATGCGATATAACCATCCTGCAATAAATCTAAAGAACTGACACCCCACCCTCTTGAGCCTCGGCTCCATTTGCTTCTGTGGGAAAACATGTTTATGAAAAATTAAATGAAATTGAAATGATTATTATCTTTCCATTTCCCATGTGTCTTTGCTAAAATAAAACTTTGATCAATGCAAAAGTTCTCAAATCTTACTGCCCAGTACAGCAGTAGATCCCCTTTTAGCTTTCAACATAGAAATAAAACTCTCAGCTTTCTCTGTTTATCTTTTCCAATTTATCGGTTTTGTCACACATAATTTCTGTCTCACATCAAAGGAGGCCTGTTTTGAGTCTTCTCCTGCTCTGTATGTTTGACACACTCACAGAAAACAAACATAATCTCAACCTTCTGGATGTCCAGTCAGGGTCATGACAACCTAACCCCCAACACACGCCCCTGTGTTCTTATTGTTCTCTGAATCGACTGTCTCGATTTTCTCCTGTGTTTCAGTCACTGAACATTTATCAGAATCTAAACCGCCGGCAGCACGACCTCGTCATCCACCTCATGGACATCGCCATTATCGCTACTGACCTGGCTCTCTACTTCAAGTCAGTACAAAGAGAATGCAAATGCATCACGTCTGTTCAGTTATCGTTCTACCGCTTTAAATGCTTTTTAGCCAGCATTATAAAACAGATTAATTACACTTAATTGTTTGAGTGGCACATTTGTTAATGATTTCATCTTTTTGTGTCAGTTTTTTAAGTGATTACTTTTTGAATTGATACATAAAGAAGCCAACAAAAATACAGCAGATAAGAAAAGATTTTGTGTTGATGAAAAACTCACCTGTAAGTGTTGCTGATGAATTCTGTCCCACCACCTTCTCCAAAATAATCTCAGCACAACAAGTGAGTGGGTGATGCAGGTTCAATGAAAGCACGTCAGAGCAGACCGTGATTATAATGCCTTGTGAAACGCGTTTTAAAGATGGAGGTAGCGGAGCACTGTTTTATTTCTGTGCAGGAAGAGGACAATGTTCCAGAAGATTGTTGACCAGTCCAAGACCTACGAGAGCTGGACCGACTGGACCAAGTACATGATGCTGGAGACCACGCGTAAAGAGATCGTCATGTAGGCACAAACGCAAACGCACAGGTAGAAACACAGACGCATACAAACAGTCAGATGTCAACACATGTATTGTGTTTCTAGGGCCATGATGATGACAGCCTGTGACCTGTCTGCTATCGCCAAGCCGTGGGAGATTCAGAGCAAGGTACGCGGCTGTGTGATCTCTACACAAGGTCCTTTTCATACTTCACAGTTGTAGCTGTAAAATGGCTCTCCAGCCTCGCTAACATCCAGCCGTTCACTGTAATAAGACACACACTTGTACACAAGCTCCAGGAGAGTCTCTGCAAGAGAGCGGGAGCCGGTGATAAAGTAGACAGAGAATGACATTTTGTCAGCGCTGCCATTTCTCTCAGCGGCGTTCAGCAGTGATTCTTGACGGCCTCATGCATCAAAAGCAACCTGCTGCTTTTCATTCGCCTCATTACGGCATGGCAGGCTCAGCGTTTTATTTAAGTAAAGTATGCAATATACACATTGAATCGCGCCTGCACACACAGGCATATCAATATGAACAGGAAGTATCGCTGGTGGCGCTGCTGGAGGGTCATTTTTTACCTTTATTTGTTTGCAATTGGCTGGGAACATGAGCTCTTTGTCAGTGACGCCTGCTTCACATTCTTATACACACACATAAGCTGGAGCAATTCCACTGTACCCATAATAAAACCAGTAATGGTAATTCAAAGCACAGATAGTTGAGTTCTTGTTGATGAAGTGCTTGATGCATCACCTGTTGAAAGAATTCAAATATAAAGCCAATAATTATATAATCTATTATAGAAGAGAAATATAAGTTACCAGACGATTTTATCCAATTCCTCCAAAACGTATTCATATAAGATGATGAAGGGAGGGCAAAAACAGAATCACTGGCTCAACTGGTCCCATGCTTATTATTAGAGCCGCGCTCAACCTGTAATGAGGGGTCACAAGTGGACATAGCTTCATTTTCAAGGGTCATGAGCTAAAAATGTTTGAACCACTGATTCAGAAAATGAGAAGGCGCGCTGTGCTGTTTTGGCATGCATTGTTAAAGAAGATATTTGAGATATTTTTTTCTTAATGTCTCAGGCTCATGGGCTCCTTTTCAGTTGTAATCATAACACAAATAATTCCACAAGTCAGCAGACACCTGACCTTTTATAAATGATTTTTCCATCAAAATGGTTCTGCAAATCACCTTTCAGGTGGTTTGGTTTTCATGATTGTCCTCCAGCATGACTAGCTAATTTAAAACATCCATAGTCTTGTTTAATGGCAAAACCTGTTGAACTTATACACTTAGAATTTTAAATTGGAACAGATAATTGCAGATTGAATATTTCATTTTCTCCCATATTCAATTGCTTGAGTTTAAAGTAAAGAGTGAGAGCTGTGTTGCTGAGTACAGGGGAGGAATTTGCTGTTAAAGGGTCATGAATCTGGTACTGTGATGAAAATCTAATAAATACCAGTATAATCATGTTTGAGTACTGCCAGATGTGGTCTTCAGATACAATATGTGTGAAGGGAGGTTATGGGACCAGCAGTGCGATCAGTGTATTAGAATAAAAGGCTCATGAATATTGTTCCCAAATAGCATCTTACAGTAGACGTTGGTAAAAATGTCACTAGTCACACAAATAGAATGATGTATCCCTTTAAATCTTTTCTACATCAGTTACTTCACATCTGTAGTAAAATTTGGGATTCAAACTACCAGCTTTTTCCTCACCTTCAGGCTCCTGTTATTAATGTTCATCCTTTACGATTGTATGTCAGAGGTACATGTAATTAATCTACAGTCTCGCAACTACATGATGAGCGTGTGTGCAAGCTGATAAACATCTCATATCAAACCCAAAAAATAATTATTACCATGTGTTACTATGACAAACTTCAGCAGATTAGTTGAGTTCTCTTCTGCTCTGTTGCTCCTTATGCACAGTTGATGCCAATTACGATATTCCACCTTTATTTTTGGCGGATACTTTTTTTTTTTTTTTTTTCCCCTGGTTCGATTTCACCTTTGTCTGCACCTGGTGAGTCAGCTCCACATCCCACACACGCTGTCAGGATATCTATCTACAGCAGCGGCCGCCCCCCCCTGTGGATTGTGCTCTAAAAGTAGTTTGATGACTAACTCCTCTCCTAAAAGGTGAATTCCACCCTGAATACAGCAGCTACATGTTTGTAGATGTCAAAATGAAGCCCTCCAAATTCAAGTTCTCATCAGAGACTTGCGGAAACTTGATACTAGAACTTAATTTAAGCAAAGGGAATCTCTGCTTGTGGGAAATGAGTCTCTATTACAGCTTGAGTTTGTGATTCAAGCTGATAAGATGGTTGCATTCTTACATAAAAATCATCTGATGTACAGATAAAGTCACTCAGATTTTTATTGATGATAGACAGTCCTCCCTGAGATGTTCTGGAGAGACAAAAGCTCGAGCTGCTTAATTCTTCTTAAGATATTCCACTGACATTTTTATAGCTGATACTTTTTTTTTCCCACTCAGTTCTGCTTCCCACGCACACAGAATATCTGTCTACAGCCTGCCACAGCCTCGTGGCAATTGTTCCCTCCAAACTGGCTTGATGACTAGCTCTTTCTAAAATGAGGTTTTTTTTTTTTTTATCCCAAATGCAGAATTCACATAGTATTCATCAGATCTCGCATTGCTCCAATTTAGGTTTGCGAGGGGCAAGACAAAATAGGCTTTCATCTCATCAAGGCACAAAAGCTTGAAACTGCCTCATGAGCACTGAGCAAGATTCTAATTTATGGGACATTGTAAAAGCTTTACAGGATGATTTTAAGGACATGTACGGGAGCTTTTCTTACGCTATAAAATGCTCCTCAAATCAGCACCGTGCTCCAGCCAGTAGCTTTATGACTGCCAGTGACTTAAAGGAGAATTCCCCCAAATACTGTACATAGTGTTGAAATGATCAGTCAGAAAATAACTTGTTTTATATCATTTTAAATTAAATACCTTTTGGTTTTGGACTGTCAGGCAGATGTCATAGAGGCTCTGAAAACTCTGGAAACATTTTATAAACTTAATAATTAATGCTAATATATATAATAAGATATAAAATATTGTCACAGTCACATAACCCTAACCCCAAATCATTATGTAATTTTGAGCTTATCTCCACTAACCATTTGCTAACCACAGAGAACCATGAGACGAAGTCTGTTGACTGACTTTAAATTTGACCTCTCCAAACTTTGTTGGACCCTCTAGGTGGCGCTGTCTGTAGCTGCAGAGTTCTGGGAGCAGGGAGACCTCGAGAGGACGGTCCTGGAGCAACAACCCATTGTAAGGACACAGTAAGATTTGGGGGATTAAGAGGTGGGGTGAAAGGGGGGGGGGGGGGGGCTAAAATCTTAGGCTGATGTGGTTTTCTATTGGAGCAAGTCTGAGACTGTCGGTCCGATACTATAGGATTAAAAAAAATGATGGGCCACCAGTTGCCAACCACTGATTTTTCTCAAAAACCTGCTAAGGTAAAGGCTGATTTTTTACCTTGATTTTTCCATGATGACAAATCAGAAAAGCTTGTAAATGAACCTTTGTGCTTGGATTATTGTGTTTCACTCAAGAGTCAGCAGTGGACAGTGAAAAATGGGGCAGTTCACCTGAAATGAGCCTCGTGGGACCATTCATGATCAGCTCAATCATATGATCAATTTTATGTCTATAACCTGGACAAATATGCACATGATGCTGTAGTTTGAACTAGGTAATGAATTAAATCTGTACTCCAGCAATCTGCAGAAAACCTGTTTATCTGTCTAATTTGATTTTCATATATTTTTTTAATCAGTTTGTGCCAGTAAGATAAAGTTTGAGAAAGGAGAAAGGATTTGGTGGGTGGACAGGAATTGCAGGAATTATGGCGAGATGGTGCTCTCCTCTGGGTTTCATTTTAAGACGGCGAGCGGGAAGGACGGGATGAGAGAGCAGGAGAACAAGAGACAGAAACGCAGCTGGAAGACGAAATGAAAAGACAGATTTAGTTCCCTGTGGCGGCAGTGTTGAGCGATGTCAGGGCCATTATGTGGAGCACTGATACAGAAAGAGCGGTGACTGTGGCCCCAGCCCAGCCGACCGTACCCTCCCCTGGCTCTCTCTGCCACTGTCTCTCTTTCTCTCTCTCCCCTCGCTGTGTTTCATTCCCTCGTGTCCTTGAGACACTTGAAGTGTGAGAAGCACCATCCCACACTCTCTCACCTCACAGTGTTCTGAATTTAATAGCATCAGTCAACAGGGAAAACTTTTCATTTTGATCAGTTTGTATTTTCCCAGCAGTCGATTCTGTGAGTCACTGTGGTCTGACAAGAAAAAAAGAGTTTGCAGAGGCTGTAACACTTGATCAATTTTATCAGGAAATGTAGGTGGGCAATTTTGCCACCAATTACAGCCAGCATGGATTTCCTCACAGTTCTGACAGCTTTGTGCTGCTCACGCTGCGCTACAGTACCAAGCACCTTTTGAATGTGCCTGCTAATGTGAAGCTAATGTAACTTTGCATGGTTCATTCATAGCTTTGTTTACACTCAGAGAGCACACACTATGGAACTATGACCCTCTTTTACAAGCATGCAAAGTTGAGGCTTTTGAAGGAGACAGTTTGGGTTTCAGGTTCTGACTTGATGCTTCTAAGCATTTGAGTCTCTTTTGGATGAATCTACAGTTTTCTCAGTGAGTGAGGATGGAGTGCTTTCCATATTTGTGATTGTGGTAAAGCTGTTAAAGCAGGTGTATGTTCAATAAAAGAAATAGGCCTTCTTAAGTTAGGGAAATTGTCTCCCCACCACACACTCAGCAAAGATGTCAGAGGTCAGAGGTCAGCTTTGGAACACCTTCACTGGGGCTGGGAGGACGCCAGTGCTGTGTTCAAGGACAATGCAGTAGCTTTAGTTTCCTCAGGTTTTTTTTTTTTTTTTTTACACATGATAGAGTAAGTAGTTTTACATAAACTTTGAAATTGATAAATCCATTAGAGTTTTCTGGCTGAACGGGAAACCAGTTGTTAGAGCAGTTTCTGTGCTTGTGAAATGCTTTATACACACTGTTAAAGCGACGATACCTTGATGTATTTTTAATGCAATAGTACTTCAACAGCAAATTACATTTCATTGGTATGATTGTTACAATATCTAAAAAAAGGTAATGATAAGGACATTAAAGTGCAATAGCTTAGCGATAGTGTTGATGACCAGATCACCATAATCGAGTGCTTTAAACACTTCTCTCTCTCTTCTCCAGCCCATGATGGACAGAAACAAAGCAGAGGAGCTGCCGAAGCTGCAGTGTGGTTTCATCGACTTTGTCTGCGCTTTTGTGTACAAGGTCAGATGTCACAAAGACACACGCAAACACCCACTACTGAGTCCCTCTAACTCAAACACTCACTGCAATGAACACCTGCCACTGGCTAAAACAAATAACAACAAACAAATTTACATGCAGCTTGATATTGACTTTGTTTTTGGCTGCATAACTTTATTACAAGACGGTTCGGATGTGCAAATGGATTATCATAATCGAATTTGTTCGCACCATGTGAGGCTGATTAGTTAGTGTTATATGTATGATTTAATAAATTATTTTGACTGTTTGGATCTAACAAAGCTGTATTGATTTAATGTGATTCGATTTGTGTTGACTCTTCCACCTCTCCTGCTCCTCAGGAGTTCAGCCGTTTCCACGTGGAGATCACCCCCATGCTGGACCGCCTGCTGAACAACAGGAAGGAGTGGAACGCCCTGAAGGAGGTGCACGAAGCCAAAGTGGCTGCCATTGAGGAAGCCAAGAAAGCCAAGGAGGAGGAGGCTCAGAAAGCTGTGGCAGCCAAACAAGGTAGGAGGCCGTCAGACACGTGAACACACACACACAAACAATGCGTTACTCTCTCTATTTTCATGTGGGATGTAAATGCCTCTGAGCCTGAACAGTCATGTGCCAGTTGTGAGGTGAGAAATTTATGCCAAAACTGGTAACGACAGAGACACAGAAATACACACACAGGATGAGAAACAAATAGTTTTGTTTGGATGCATTTTTCATGGTGTCACTTTGAATAATAAAAACTAACTTCCTCTCTGTTTTTCCTTTTTTTCTTCCCTCTTTCTTTTCTTCTTTTCTTCCTTCCTCCTGCAGCGAGTGCAGCCCAGTCACAATCAAAGACTTGTATTCTCAGCTAGAGAGGCTACAATAGCACCACCTTGTTTGCAACATGGTTATGGTCCAATACTGGATTTATGCAAAAGATTTTCTCCTTTTATTCTTTTTAAATCCAGTTTACAGAGAGGATGTCTCTCACTTCTCCTGCATTTACTGAAATCTCCTTTCTGCACTGCTTCTTCCTGTCCTTGCTGCTTTGATACTGTGTTACTCATTAGATGCACTTGGCTTCATGTTGTGTTCAGGTGTTTGCAGGAAGCTCCAACATCTAACATTTGAGAGTCGGTTACCAAAAAGCATTACATGCAGCAAGCTATGTGTTTTGTCTGTACTTTGTCAAGAATTTGGAAGCTTCCTGGACTGAAAAGGTTCAAATGGCAACTCGGGTGTTAAATGTCATCTTACCTACAAGCCTGTAATGCTGTACTGGCATTAACTGAGTCCAGCAGCTGCCTAGAAAGGTCTGTTATAGAAAATGCTCAGCAGAAATGTTACAGTACACAGTCTGCTGAGGAGCTAATGGGCTAAAACATGCAAAGCATTAGTTTGTTCCTTTAAGTATCTGTGATTGCGGCTTGTGGGTTAGCAGCAGATGTAACCTACACTGACCTTTAATAATCTACACATTTGTGTTGTAAACACCAGTGTCTCCTGATTACACTTCAGTGTCAGCTCAAATGTTCAGTATATGCTCTCAGATGAAAGGTCTGGGTCAGTCTGAGGACGTCAGAGAGTTTCTCAGTAGACTGAAAAAGTTCTAGACATTTGTCTTGATGAAGCAAATGCAAACTTATTGTTATGTATTCTTATTATGAGCTGTAAAGAACATCAAGGCAAAAAAGATCCAAGACAATCTATAAATTAAAGCTTCAGTGTGACTCTTTGATTCTGTGCATTTTGTAGTTGTGGTTCTTTTATGATGGAGATGTGTTTATACACAGAGAGGGAACACGCTCCAACTCTGGTTAATGACATTCGTCACTGGGCGTTTCCATAGTGTCTGTGAGTCAAGTGTTATTTTATATTTTTGGCTCAGGTCTTCCGACATTAGTTGTGTTGACATGTTTGTCTCAGCTTCTTCTTCGTCTGTGCTGTCAAAGGTTCAGAACGGAGAAATTTATAAATGCAAACGCAGAACATGGCTTGCAAAATAGATGCACGCTGAAAATACCTTCATGTACTCTGTTGTTCAGTTATTGGTTGGTTAAAGACGGCTTACCTTCTCTGCTGCACTGGTTTTTACTGTACACTGTGTATTAAAGTATGTTACAAGATAATAATCCTTTTTAGCATTTGTGATATTTAATGTAAATGTTTGTAGATACTTGCGCAGAAATCTAATGCAGATCAGCGGAGATGAAACAGTTTGTGAACTAATTCCTCACACAAACACACATGCAGTCAGTTTTGCTGTAGTTGACAATGAGGAAATGTGAAATTGTTTGAAAAGAGATTAGTAAAGACGCTATTTTCATACTGACTAACACTGGTGTCCGTGTTTTTATTGAGAGGTGTGTGTGTGTGTGTGTGAGTGTGTGTGTGTTTGTGGGGGGGGCATTAGTGTGTTAGGTGTTGCTGTGTCTGGTGTCAAATTGTGGTGATTTTGAATTGGTTTCTTGTGTTTTTGTGTGTTAGTCAGAGACTATGTGGCATCTTATTGTGATGAGCTAGTGCTGGTGCTGGTGTGTGCATGTGTGTGAGCATAGCTGTGTAGAAAATAGTATTTAAATGTGAACGGCATCTGCATCCACATACATTTCTGTGCAGTTTTATTACTCTATAAAACAAATGTGTTTCAGCATTAAACACTCATACGGTTATGTATGTATGATTAAGTGCTTCTACATAAACAGCATATTTGATTGCACTTTTGTAATTTCATTTCAACGACACATACTTGTTATTTTCTTTGCATGTTTCCTCGTCTCTCGCTGCACTCTCATTTGATTCTCTAGAGAATCTGTTTGGAAATTTTTTTGCACCTTTTTTTCCAACCAAGAGGATTTACACCCCAACGAGCATTTGACTGACAGCACTGTGGAGGAGCTGGCCAAGTGTTGTGCCAAAATTTATTTCCCCAAAAACAGGTGGTGGTAAGCAACAATTTCACACCAGGGGAGAAAATGCCAAAGTTAAATCCTTTCCTTCCCAAACCACAGATGTTTATTGATTGTACAGAAGTTGTCAGGCTGTACATTAATCTATGGGTATTAAGTGATTTTCTCTCGTTGCTGTACTACAAAACTGAAACAGCACTTATATATAGGTCAAAAGTGGTCTTGGCTTAAACTGAGTTTAATAGGTTTTTAAACATCTAGGATACCTATGAATATTATTGCGACAGATTTTTAATTACAATATTCGAGATGTAATTCATGCTGGCTAAAAGATGTTAAAACAATGGTTAGATGTAACATAGATGTATACAGAACTGTTTAACCACATTTAGCTGTGTAGATGCTTAGATGTCTTCTGACCTGATAATTACCAAATCCATGTTTACCGGGAGCAGCTCACTCTGAGAACAAAGTAGGACACACACACACTCTGAGAAATTATAGGGGAAATAAATCCTGGCACCACTCGGTCCCAGTCCCAGCACATGATTTTCAAGGTATTTAGCATTATGGCATTTCAGAATTCAAATTCAAACCGTTTTGAATTGAAATCAGAAACGTTGGTCTAGTTTTTTTTCTTTTTTTTAAACAAGAAATTACACACCTTTTGTAGTTGTCTTTTTCACTACACTGAGAAGTAAACATCTGGAAACTGGCTGTATGAGACTCACTGCAAATTAGTGTGGATGGGAGAGAGTTGCCTGCAGCACTAAAGCAGAATTGCTGCATAAACGACAACTTGCACAACAGCTGACAATGTATTATTATCTGTCAGCTGCACCATCCATTTAAATGTGTTTGTGTGTGTACACATTAATGCATTCTCCCACCTAGAAGCATACATAATACTGTTATAAAACGCAACATGACGCCATAGCAGGGATAATGAAAAGTGATCGCCACTGGAGTCTCAACGGGGGGGCAGCTATATTCATCACCACCCCTCCCTCCCCTCCCTTACACGCTGTAGTAATATAATAATAGCCATGGATACATAATCTAAGTGTGTCGTCACTGGTGTATGACGTAAATCCCCATGACGTAAGGGCATGTTGGGAGCTCAAAGGATTGCCGTATACGGTTGTGATGATCAGCAGTGCTTGTAAAGCCTGGCTCTGACGCAGGGACAACCCGTGACTGCAGAGAGTGAGAGAGAGAGGGGGAGAGGCAGAGCAGCAGCTGCAGTACACCCAGAGAGCCTGCAGGAAGGGAGCTTTACCCTCATTCTAGCAGGGATCGGGGGCAGTCGTGACTGCAGAGCTGCCAGCCTGCAAGCCACAGCAGAGAGCAATGCAGGACTATTTATAGACGACTATGCATGTGTCGGCTGCAGTTTCTAAGCAGAGGAAGTCACTTGACTAGTTTGCTCAGGCTTTGTTGTCCCAGAAATGCATTCTCATCAGCATCGCTGTGGCAGTGCAATGTTTAGTTGCTGCTGTGTGGAATCACACTGGAATCACATGAAATTCTTACATTAGATCACCTGTGTGTGCAGCATTCAGAAATAACCAGGCTTACTTCCACCAGTTTCTTTTTATGGTAACCTCTTGACATCCAGCTTTCACCTTTTGTTTCCCCTCTAGATAGTGTTGAAGTTGTTAAAATCACATTGATTGACACTGTCAGGCAGTATCACTGAGAACACACAGACCTGAAGCGTTAAAGTTCCTCTCCAGACACATTTTAAACTATGTAAAAATACTCTGCAATGATTAATATTTTGTTTAACATTATTTTCATGAATAAAAAGTGGAGATAAACTCAAAGAAAGGGGTCTGGAAGGACATCTATGCTTACTTCCTCATTGAGAAATTCTAGATAAGGCCTTGTGCCCCGCCCACTCCCGCTGCTTGCGCTAGGCTGACAGTTGAAAGAGTAGAGAGCGTCAAAGGAAACATCAGAGAGACTCAGCCACATGTTTGAGCCTCAGTTAGACCCAGACTCAGGAGTTTTTGAGTTTGTTATTCACCAAAATGGGTGACTAGCAGACATCAGACATATCAGAACGGTTAGCGCAGTTAGCATCTTTTATGGCAAGGTTTCAGGTTTATTTTGCCCGTGCTCCGTTCCCGCAAGTTGACAGGATTGGTTCTTTACATGACGTATGAAGCCCTGGCTGTCTGAAGCCATTTTTATGAGAAAGTCATTGGTTCACTGCAGTTCCAAGGTGGAAATACTCCAAGAAATAATCATTGCATTGCCTGCTTATTTTGCTCATGATATGTATTCTATTATATAGAAAACACCATATGGACATGTTAACAAGGTTTAAAACTTGATTTTCATCGGACTGAATCTTTAAATAATGATCTAAAACAAGAAAGACGAGCTAAACATTTCTGAAGCTGTATCTAACAAATGTTTGGCATTTCTTTCATTTTCAAAATCATAGTCAATAACATTGCTCTAGATCAGCAATTACATTAATCAACAAATTGTTTCAGCAGTAGAGACTGTTTAACAACTTATTCCTGTGACTGTAAAATCTGAAGAGAAATGTTAGAAAGCTGTGAAATAACTGCTGAGACAGGTTGACCTTTTTCAAAGACAAATGATTTTAAGGTGACGCAAAAACAAAAAAAAAAAGTGAGAGGAGATGTGATCTCAGGAGGACACAATGACGTGACAGTTTTCTTTCTTTAACACAGGCAGAAAAGCGAGACAAATCATTCCAGTGACGTATGTGCCCGCGTGCATCAACATGTCTCATGAGGACAGTTAAGAGGCTGCAGGATGTTTGAAGAAATCAACAGTATCACGAAGTGCAACGCACTGAATGTGCTTGCATCTGTTCAGTGATATAACACCAAACACTGCTGTTCTCCAGCTCATGGTCAAAATCCCCACAGGAGGTTTTAAAGATAATATGATTTCTAGGTAGGAGAAAACATATTCCTGAATTATACACTATATATGCATTATTATTTATATTATTTAACCGGGTATGGGTTTAATATCTTTTTTTTCCTGAGGCTAAAGATAAATATTACAGATAAACAGTAGAATAAAAACATGTGAAAGGTAGAAAAGTGGACAGCAACAAAATAGACGCAAGCAGATCAGCATGTTCAGTGAGTTCAGTAGTTGTAAGTCATCAGTTTGTGCATATGTGTCACATGGAGTCAGCATCCACTGAATGCAACAGTTATCATCGTGTTGGACAAGGTGACCTTTGACCTGAAGTAACTCTCTGCAGTGTGTAATGTTTGCTGTCTGAGCTCAGTTGACGTTCCCAGAGACGCTGCTCACTGTGGCTGAGCGCTGACCTCATTTCTAAGATGACTTTAATACAATACATATTTTAAACACGCTTAATTGGTTTTGAGAATTTGTCTTGAGTTAATCTGTCTAAATAAACAGCAAAAAATGGCAGAATGAATAATATCAAAATTTATTTCAGCAAATGGCAAAAAAAATCATGGTTGTCGCTTTGAGTTTCTGAGATTAGAGAGATGTTTACCAACAGAAGACCTTCAACTCACTGGTCTGTGCTAAGTACTGAAGAAAAGTATTTACCACGCAGCAGACATGAGGGGAAATCAGATGTAGTTTCTTTCTCATCATACAAATGATGTTTCCATGCCCTTTAGCCAAGCAGCATATTTTCCCCAAATACTGAAATCCATTCAGACTCCCAAGTTTCACCAATCAGCTTTTTCAGTCATACAGTGAGGAATAAACAAACACTAAGTTTAATCTTTATTATTGAGCGTAATGAGAAAACTGGGAATATGCCACTGTACGGATTAAGCCAGATTTTAGCACCAAATTAGTTGCCCCCGACTAATTTCAGAAATGGGCCAAATTTCTGCCATATCGGTTGTTGTTTGTCTGACTAATTGCTTGAATCATCAGTGATTTGGCTCTCGGACAACTGGTTGGATTTCTGGAATGTCAGAAATCTTGGCTGTCTGAAGTTTTGGTAATTCCACAGTCCAATTTCTCTCAAGGCCGCTGTCAAAAGATGCTTTTATAAACTGTAGTGAGCTTGTTTTAATATTACTGAAGTTGTATTTGACATGTTATGCCTAAAGTCTTGGCTGAGACTGCTGAGATAAAAAATTGATTTACGCTGCAGAACAGACCATACTGTCTGCATCTGCCAGCCATCTGTGGCTCCATATTTTTATTCATTTCTTCTTACTTTCCACTTGGTAGCGCTGCACAAAGTAATGCTGACTTTCCCTCTTGTTGTCAACCAGGCTTGGGCTGATATTCGATAATATCGAAAATCGCGATATTTCCGTCCACATGCGATATTTTTCATAATATAGAAAAAATAAATATTATTATTTTTTTATTTTTATTTTTACAGTTTCACACATACTACCCTGCTGCTGATTCCGACCCTTATTTCACTGCTT